TTAGAAACTTAACCGTCAGCCCTGAGCGCATGCGAGAGTGAGGGACTGCAGAGCTGTGTATTCAAGGCCCCCAAACTCTCCACAACCCCGCAATCCGAATTTTCCCATCTTCGCATGCGCCGCAAGACTTCGCGTGGCCGAAGGCCTTGGATTTGAGTTGGAGTCGACTCCTCGACTTCTTCCAGGCTCAGGGTTGGAAGATGTTTGAAGGCCCTCGAAGCACCCCCCCCCCCCAGTCCGCCCCATGATCCCTTCGCAGGAAAACGACTGTGGCACAAGACTACCAAAGTCGAAAGCGAAGCCGATGCAGTCGGTCGTTGCCTGTCTATCTCATGGCGGGAGTGGCTGGGATTTCTGTTTTCATCAAGGTGAGGGGTGTGCCGCGCCTTCGGCCCTTATCAGACCATAATTGGCGGATGATTCCCTCTTGTCACTTTTGTTGATGCGATGTGGATGATTGATGCGTTTGCTGTGCGCCCTGCCCCAGGTATCGCCTCAGATGTCCGCCATGCCAGTGTTGCAGCACGTGTACGAGAACGCCTTGCGTAGGCCGCCTTCCTTTGGCTCCGTACGTATCCGTACGTCATGTTCCGAGCAATTTCCTTCGCAGCAACAGCACCGTCATGAGCTGAGCCCATCAGTAGCCCATCAGTGCAGACCTGAATGGACCCCTGTCAGCCCAATGTCAACAATCCCCTCCTGGAAGAAAACAGTCTCCCCCTTCTTTGTTTCTTTTCTTGATCCCGTCCTTGCTGAGCAGGCTGAGATCCTGAGCGCCGAGCTCCATTGTGGACGCTTTGTAAACCCTAGGAGTCTTAGATTGGCCCTCGAAAGTCTTCTTAGGACCCCACAGATGTGACAACATCCCATGGCATGGGCCCGCTAGGATTTACAGGGCTTCTAGGGCTTTGCAGGGGGTTGATGCGGAGGGGGTTCAGGCAGCCCGCATCTTTTCATGCCCATCTGTGTCCATGTTGGGTTTCTTCGACATGCATGGACATCGCTTGTACTCCAAGCCCCAAAGTGTCCACTGACTTCGGAGTCCGGGTCCTCAGAAGGATCTGGGGCGGTCTGCCCTCGCAGAGTTTTGGTCCTCCGCAATTGCACGCGCTTGCTTAGAACGCGTTTCGGTGTGAGCGGGGTTAGGGTGCAAGGTGAAAGGTTTTCTGGAAGGTTTTTGAAATTTTTGGAATGGTTTTTTGGCCAGGGGCTGGGGAGGGGGGGGGTAACGACAGTAGTTGACTCCGAGGGGAGTTCATTGTGGTTTTCGGTTACCGAAGCCGTAGGCCTTGGCGTGGATTCCGGAGACCCCGCCTTGAAGGGACTCGGAAGGGCTTCCGAAGGAAGCCCCTTCCCCAGCCTGAGCTTCGAGGCTTTGTGTCGAAAAGCCGCGTAGTGGCGTAGTGTTGTGGCAGCTGTGGGATTGGGACAAGGCCGGGAGGTGTGCGTCTGCAACGGCATGCGCTCTTGAGGCTCGAGCCTTTGGTAGCCCCGAAAGTTTCAGTCCTTTCCCTTTGGGTTTCGACTCATAAGGAGGCGAAGGCCGAGGAAGCAGTTGCCATGTCAGTTATGGCCTACCATGCGCGTCGAAAGGCATCCAGGGTGCCTGAGCCTGAGACGCTTAAAGCGAACACTGACAAAGCTTGAGGCTGTGAGGACCTAGCAGTGCTCCGACGACATGTCTGTCCATCTTGCATCTTTTTGGGTCATGCGTTCGGCATGCGATCTAGCAGGCCTTTCCGGCGACCCAACTTTCGTTGGCATGACATGCCCTCTGCTGGAGACATGAGGTTCGCCCAAGCATCGCTTTGGAACCGTGTGTGCAGCACTCGGCTTTTCTTTTCGTGGAGCCTCGTAACTAGGGCCAACACCCTAGGGCTCTTGAAATCTTGCGCCATCCGCAGGTCTCAAACCAGCAGCACTGAGAACCCGACCCATGACCAGTAGAAAAGAACATCAGGGGCCAAGCAGGCGCAACCTAACAGTAGCCTAACACCCTCAACTTTTTTCCACGTAAAGGCTGTTTCTTATACTGTTCCGCCCGAAAGTGTGCCCTTGCTGAGGGCCGAGCGGCAGTTCGACCACCTGAAGCAGTCGCTGGAGGATAGCAGAGTCGAAGCGGTTTAGGGCGGCGGTAGCAGGGTTTGTTTGGGGTTTTGGGGGCACTTTGAAGGGGGTTCTACAGTCGTGCTGCGAGGGTTTAGAGTTTGCTATTGTCGCTCGGGAGGGCTTTGGGGGGACCTAAGGGGTTTTTGATGTTGTAGGTACATTGTAAGGCCGCCAAGCTTTCGAGCTTTCAGAGGTGGGGGTAGCTTCTTGGGGGGTACAGGCCCGAAGCGCCCAAAACTGGGAGCAGGTACCAGTTCCGCTGCCCAGTGGTTTGCTGCCCAGTACGAGTCTCGCGATCTCCAAGGCGCGTCCTTTTGGTTCAAGAGGGGGTTTTAGGGAGTTGAGGGGAGTTGAGGGTTAAGGGTTCATGAGGTTATCGGTGAAATAGCCTTTGGCGAGGGAAGCTTCGTTGTCGCGTGAAAGCTGCTGCGGAGCTGTTTTGCAATAGCAGAGGGCTACGATGCTGCGATAGTTTCAAGATGTCTTCAAGGCTAGCGAGCGCACCGTGGTTCTGAATCAGCATGAATCAGCTCTTTGGTGGTTTCTTTCTCCATCAAATGGGTTTCATTTGGGCGGCCTAGGCCCTAGGTTCTTCTTACGGTTGATGGGATACCGTTTTTTGCAATAGGTACCTACCCCAAAAGGGATTCCACTTTAGGGAACCTGCCGCGCATTGGAAGTGGACAGTTGTAAGTAGGGTTCCAACAGTCTCAAAATACCCTCAATACGGTTGTCAGAAAACTCTAGCTAATAGCATCACTAAAATGTTCCCACTGATCGTGACTCATACCCATGGCGACCTTGCGCTTTTCTCCGGCGTAGGCCAAGTTCGTAGCAGAGCGTCGGCCGCAGACCCAGCTAGTGCTGAGGGGCTGAGGGGCCAGGGGGTTGGTGGGCATTCGGGGATCGGGGGTGAGAGGAATTCCTACGAGCCTCTTCAGGGCCCCACGGAACATGTGTCGAATGGTCCGCAGTGGCACAATGTGTCATGAAGGCAGCGCTCATATGAAAATGTGGAGCCTCCTTACAACCCAAAACAATATACTCGCCACTAGTATTATGGGAACATTGTTGGAACTCCTAAAACCGGACCCCTTATTGTGCGGAAGAAGCCCCCCCATATACAAAGTGTTGGTATGCTGCTTCTTTTTGAGTCAGCCCTTAAATCGATGTATCCAAGGCCAGGAGAGAAGATGGAGCCGGTGCTTGAGACCACACCGCCAGCCAGGCTCGGCAGAGTTCGAATGGTTCTTCCTCTGTCATTCGCCCACGCTGGACAGGTCGGCAGACTCGCCTTACAAAGAAGCTCGCCAGTGGCCCTGGAGGTGTTGCAGTGCACGGCAGTGCACAGGGGAACCTGGGGGAGTGTTCTCGGTATCGACCACAATTTACGTTACCATGCTGGATTCTGTGATTAAGCACCTTCATCTCGATGGGTTTGCCCGTGGTGTCATCGGAGGCTCTGGTCCTGATCATATGTTCCAATGTGACGTGTGATGAGTCGGAGAGTGGCGGGTGTGGGCACGGAGTGCTGACACCGCCACCACCAGGTGAGTTTGCCTGCGACGTGCCAGAGTGTAAAGATGTGTAACTCGAGTCTAGGGACTCCGCAAACTCGTTCGTGAGGGTCAGGTTGCTGATTAGAGGTTGGGTGTCGGTTTGTATGGACGTCCAGGGACGAGGAAGGAATCCCACAGGCGCACAGCTTCGAAGCTAATGCCACGAGTGGCAATTCTGAGGTGGTGATAAGCCGTAGCAGTTGCCTTCTTCTCATGGACGTGATATCCACAAGTAGAATGTTTTATGCATGCGAGCGTTTGTGTGGGCAGAAGGTCATTTAGGAACCTGCCCACGTCCAGATACCACTCCTTCGGCATTCATCACTTAGGCACTGTACAGATCTGTAAAGATGGGGGGCCAACTCATTTTCGTGAGTGTGGCCTTTTTGCTTGAGAAGAGCGGCTTGCGCGGACGTTGGGACCGAAGAGCCTGGTTTGCTAGGCTCATTTTGTCCGTACTTTTGCGCCATGATGTTCACATGTCAGAGCCCTAGAGGCACTAAATCTTAATCTGCTTAGCACCTACATAGAAAGCCCTGAAGGTCTTCCTCCTTCCACCCTTAATATCCTCTGCATGATGCAAAGCTTGCCAGCTCCGAGAATTTCCTGTGTCACCATGGGGACATCGTTACAGAGACAGGTAGACAGACAGGCAGAAAGACGCAACCTTGCAGGTGCAGAGTTCTTTATCTTCAAGTCCTCACCCTAGAAAAGATGTCACACAATCCCAAGCCTTCAAGTGAAGATGGAGGCCTAAGACTGCGGAATGTGAGGTTCTCCCTATGTGAGTTCCTCTGACATCTGCTGAGTGCGAGGTGGTCCTTGCCTTTGGGTGCCCGCCCGAAGACCCAGTAAGCCCTAGTAGAGGCCGAGCCTTAGCATAGTGGCGGAACTTTTCAGGCAGTATTGGAACTTGGAACAACAGGTCAGGTGGCAAGAGAGACTTCCACTCTACAGTGCGATGCTAGTTCGCCATCATTCGCGAGGATTGGTGGTGACCAAAGAGTCTTGTGCGTGCACGCACAACAGACAGAAAACATGGTCTGCATCTTTGTTGGGTTCGCTCTTGCTCTCTCGCTCTTCTCTCTCCCTCTCTCTTTCTCTCTCCCCCCCTCTCTTTCTCTCTTTCTCTCTCTTTCTCTCTTTCTCTCTTTCTCTCTCTCTCTCTCTCTCTCTGTGGCATTGTGCTACGTGGCCTGGCCTTAATACGATTTCTTGGTACGATCTCTTGGCCTGTTGGCGCAGCCTCGGGGTCCGAATGTATATCAAGCGTGTTGCACACGAAAGAGGAGAAAAGAGCCTCTGAGACAGTAGCCTGGTAGATCTCTGGGCATGCCGGATGCGCTCACAGACAAGGTTGGCAAGCAGAACAGCTTGAAGAGTCACTCGCTACATGGAGGAGGAGATATCCTGAACGCCATCGATGAGCGCTTCGACGACTTAGAAGACAATGTCGCCGCCTTGCAAAATGCAGTGGTTGCTCTCCAGCGGTTCATGTCCGAGAATGGAGCCATTGTATGCCGCATCAATGTGGATGACCCATACGTATCTGAATTTTCAGATGCTAGACGGCCAGCAGAAGGAAGCACCGAGATTGCCCAGTGGCGAGATACGAACGAGCCGGCAGAAGAGCTGGAACGCGCACCTTCACCAACATCACCGCAAACAATCCAAACAAGGGAATCGGAGAGGACCAGTCGTCGGACAACGATTACAGAGTTGATCACCAGCAAAGTGGCGGATGTGGACGAGACTATCCTCAGCCAGCAGACCCAGGACGAGCCTGAAAGCCACACTCCTGAGCCAAGCAAACATCTCAGCAACCACCTCACATGAAAAAGAGCCCATTGAATGTGAATCGAATGTGAGTTGTACTCCTCTAGAAGTTTTTTTAAGGTGCGCGCCTTGAATTGTTTGGGAGAGAGGAGTACTACACCTTTGGGGAGTCGACCTGGGACCTGTTTATCTTCATTGGAACTGGCGCCTTGGGTCCTCTGGGCTCAGCCCAAACCTTCCTTCTGGCCGTGGTGAACGTTGTCATGCAAATTGTCTTTGTAGGCATTGCCTACTACAACTTCATTGACCCCGAGATCGACGACACCACGGTTCGGGATGCTCTTCGCTGGAGACGATCCTCGGGCCACGCCCTCAGCTCCTACGACGCGGTGTCCAAGCTTTCGCAGGTGGAGAGGGTGTGTTCCCTGGACAAGTCCTTGCATCAGTCCGGGGTCCAAATGGCACTCTACGAGCACATCCGAAAGTACCTCAAGCCAGACGCCGAAGGATTTGAAGCTTTCTTTACCGGAGAGCTGCTGTGCATAGTGGCGCTAGTTCTTGGCAGCACTTAGAGCTTTAGAGCTTTCATCTGTCATCACTGTTCTGCCGAAGCTGTTGACTCCGGAATCACCATGTGTGTGCAATGAGGTTTGCTGGTACCTGATGGTTGCAAAGGAGGTGAGCCACGCTTTGGCTTTGCACCGGTGTGTGTCAGCCCTACCCCGAGGCCCGACAACCCTGGACACGAGGGAGAACCCCTTCACGAAGGTGACGCACTACCGGATCAAGTCCATGGCCCGAAAAAGGAAATTGGTGAGCCTCCTTCTACTTTTTTACCGCCTCTTCTCTGCGGCGCTTCTCGTCTATGTGGGCACCTTCTTCCTGGTGTACACGGTGAGCGTTACGGAGCTGATTCTCAATGATCCTTGGCAAGCGTATAAAATCTGTAGAGCGCATGGAAAGGCAATACAACTCCAATGGCCACCTGAAGCGAAATTCTCAGATGCTTTTAGGCCGTCGCCCTTGGTATCATCCTGGACATTGACGACCTGCTCTTCGACGCGCTGGCCACCACGCCTGGGCGGCATTTGGTCCACCAGCTCGACCCATTGCACATGCCATCGATGCCGCGATGAAGCAAAAAGACGGAAAGCACAATATCATAATATATTACATCTGTGTATGCATCTACATATATGTCTGTACGTATACATATACATGTACATGTACATATAACACATCGAATCCTCCAACTCTCTGAGCCATCTCAGGCCGCGATGGCGTGGTGCCGACGCCAAGTCCGCAGCAATGTCCCTGATCATCCCCACCGTGCTTATCACCGTGTACGCGACCATGCTTTCGCCCATGGTGGGTAATCTCGAAGAAGTTCGGAGTGCGATGTGCGGAGGTCAGCAGAGCTTTGTGTGGATGCAAGATCAACGCAGCATGGTGTTGATGGCACCAACAGCCGGGGACGGCTGGCTGGAAGATGACGGGAGTATCAAGACCACTGCTGTCCAGGAGGCCGAGGGAGTCGGCTTTGGTTTGGAGAAGAACGACTCCAAATACGGGATCTGGTACATGGACGTCTCGCTGTTGGAAACTGCAGCGACTCAGAGTCTGGATGAGATCTTGGACTCGGAGAACCCAGGCTGTGGCGACATTGCCACTGACGGCATGATGCTGAACTACCTGAAGTTTTACTTGAACGACGACAGCATCAGTAACTGCAGTCAGGCCAGGCAGTATTGTAACTCCGTCACCAAGCTACCAACCATGGAAGGCGATGGTGGCAAGGGTTTTGTAACCCGCATGCTGTGCCCAGCAACTTGTGGTTGCAATTCTCCAGGCACGTCTCGGGATTAATCCTGCCGAATCTAGAGTAGAGCAACATAGACTTATCCCGGTCCAGGGACATGTAGCAATGTAGCTTGGCCCTGCAGCTGGCGAGTTCATGAACGTCCAGGGATGCTCCTACTCACTTGGGCGTCCTTGCTGGTTGACTACCCAATGGAGAGATGACCGGAAAGCGAGCGTCTGCAAGGAGAAAAGTGCTGAGGAGCTGCGCCAGTCTTCGCAGTGGGCGGCGTGGGTCGAGCAGCTCCGCACCTTCTCTCAATCAGACGCAGACCTGAGAGGCAAGGCGGATGCCTCGATTCTCGCGCAGGCAATGTGGGACCATGGATGTCAGTTCCAGGCGAACCTCACAGCTGAGGGCATCAGCACCGACTTTGGAGGTTGTGTAAATTGGAATGACAATGTCTTTGACTTTGAGATGAAGACCTTGGAGAACATCTGCCCCGAGACGTGTAGTTGCAACACCAACAAGCGGACCACAGCTTGTCCCAGGCCTCTGCAGCGGACCTGTGAAGTCATGGAGGACTGTTTGTGGTACTTGGAGCAGCACTGGTGTCCGCACATCACACCCACTGTGGCTGGCACCTTTGTCGGCGACATTGCCAATACCACGCTGGCTTCACAGCATTGGGACTCGGTGCTGCTTGGCCTCCAACACAGCTTTGCCCAGATTGCGGGCAGTGGGATCGAGGCCGGGATGGTTCACCTCATCACCAGCTCCCCCGATCGTCGCCTAAATGAGCTTGCTGAGCTACAGCTTGAGCAGCTTGCAGAGCAGGAGCCGCAGCCACCGGCGTTGCGGGAGCTGCAGATGGCACTTACGGGGAGCTTCAGCATCTTCTTGGTTGATGGAAGCATGCGGAGGTCGACCGTGAGAAGCGCGGTCTCCGCGGTTGCAGTGGAAGATCTAAGCTCGTTACTGCGAGCAAAGCTTGCAAATCTTTCTGTGCCAGAGGAGCTGGGTATCTCTCTCAGCAGCTTTGTCCAGACGTAGTTGCATACGACATGTTTGTCTTGGAGCGTAAGTGTCCTGGAGGCGGAGCCCAAAGATTGTATTTTTCGCGTATCGCCCTCATGAAGACTGCGAGCTTTTCAAGGCTCCGATGTTCCCCTTGCACAGCCGCCACACTGGCAACCAGTTTGACGTGTAGCTGTCTAGGGTTGCAAGTGTTTGATTATTGGAATTCTGAGAGGAGATGCTGGCGACCTGTTTGAAACCGAAACGCGCAGGGAAACGCGCCGGAAATAAGTCGCAGCTAGTGGCCTGGGCACATTTGCCTGTGTGCCACGATGCGTAGCCAGATGCATGTGTGAGTGTTCTCTGCCCACTTAGCTGTTGAACTTGTCATGCTGACGATGGCTCAGGTCATCCCCAGAATGGGTTTGTTCGTCCACTGTGCCCCCCTTCGTGAGGGAGTCCTTGGCTGGGCCTATAGAGGCACCTCGAGGGCTCACCATTGCAATGCTCCTCTTAACCGTGTTAGCCATCTTCCTTCCTGCGACCGCCAGTGTCACTGGGACTGGTGCTAGCGCTGCGAGCGTGTGCACGGCTTGGGACGAAGATGTCGGCAGTCTTCTGCAACATTTGCCGATGACGCGACTTCAGAATTCCTCAGGGGCCCGGTCGCCTTCCAGGAGATCGAAGAAAGTGATGCTGCTACAGCGAAGTGGCGCTGACCACAAGAAAACGCAGAGGATACTGACTGCGAAGCACTGCGTGCCCATTGGGGTCACGGGAGCTAGCCTTGGCTATTATGCTCTGGTCCTCCTGGCATCTCTCTGGGCCACGGCCGAAGGCGGCCAGTGGTCGCAGTGGTCACAGTGGTCGCAGATGGCCCAGAGCTGCATCTGGCAACTCTTGATGGGCTTGGCGGCCGGGTACTTCGCCAAGGAGAATTTTCGAGCTACAGCGCTGTGGACCTGCCTCGTCTCTGGGGTAGCATCCCTGGGAGCTTGTCACGCCGAGATCGCCCATGGGTTCGTTGCGAAGGAGGGTGCTGAGCCCAAGCTGGCGATGATGATTCGAGGCACCCCCGGAGTAGTCGCGTGCAATCATGTGCAATGCTCAACTCACGGGTCGCTCTCAGGATGGACTGTCCCGCATGCCCTGTGGATGTTCTTCTTCCAGCTTGCCACTTGAATAAACAATCCCACCGGGCTCGAAGAAGCGTTGGTTTCTTCAATCTCCCTCTTTTGTGTCCGAAGCAGCTCAGGCCATGTTCTCCACGCTCCTGTTCAAGGGTGATGCAGGCCTCCACAGAAGGGACATCCGTAAGTGCTGTGATGTTCTGTCACGCGCGGATGTTCTGGCTCCTTGGCTACCTTGGCTACTTGTGGCCGCTGCAGGTGTCGAGCTCGCCTGGACGCTGTCTTTGTTGGCCATGCTCCTCTCAACTTATCTTGCTTATGTTGCTCGGAATCTTAGTCGTGTTGGTTGCAATTGGGTTGTGTTGGGCACATGCGTGTTGCGAATGCGCACGTGGCGAGCCGGGGACGCATGCACGGAACGAGTCGGGAGCCAGGGCTGAGTCGGGAATGCTCACGCCACATTGGATCTCCGAGGTTCTGTCCTTGGGCTGGGGGTCAGGCTTGAAGTACAATATTTAGGGTTTAGGAGTTAGGGCTTAGGGCTGGTCATGTTTATGTAAGCAGCTTCACATGACTTTTCCAGTCGCCGCGAACATGTGCGCCATTTAGTGTCTTGACCCTGAATTTCAAAACACGCCGGATGTCTTCGAAAGTTCTCTGTCCAAAGACGCTGTTGCCAAAGCTCGTTTAGCTTAGGGTTTCTAGGGTTTAGGGCCGGGGTCCTAAAGACTAAACCCAAAACCCCACGCCGGCTTAGGGAAGATTGGGGAACATGGCAGCTGTTCTCGACTCGTACCTCTCTTCGTGCTCGACACGCTCTGGTTGTTGTTGATTTGCGCCACCAACGTGTCCAACACGCGCCTGCCCCATGCCTGACAACACTCCCTGCTTTTCGCTGCTCGCCCTCTGCCTGCTCTCAGCAGATGTCTCTGACTCACCCGTCATCCATGTTGCTTGAGTTTCACAAGCCTTGAACTGAGACTGCCTCAGCCATACCCCTAAACTCTTTGTATGGTGCGTCTTTGATCTGATTTCCCCTGATTTAGGTTAGCTTGTTCCTTCGCTCACAGACTCGGGCGAGCTACTGGATCCTCATTGCATGCAGCACCAGTCTGCTGGTCATGCTGACTGTGGCCTACGCGCAGCTTGCTGGGAAGGGTGAGCCTTCTTGCATGGAGGACCCAAAAGGGAAGCTCCACTCAGCGCAGCCCTGTATTGAAAACCGGTAGATGTGGGCCCTCTTTCAGGACTGGGAGGGCTTCCTCGCGGTGCGGCATAACCCAGCTGCTGCCATTGGCCTGGCTGCCTTCATATGCATCATGTACTGGTTCCATGAATTCGCTCCAGGTTGCTTGGCAAGGTCAACCTTTCCCAGATTCCAAAGCATTTTGTGAGCGATGTTCTGAATCTGCCTGAAGGTACTGCGATCCGACGTGTTGCTTTCCTTGGAATTTTGCTATTGCTTCTGCCGCCTGCTTGCAAACAATGGCGGCTTAGCCTCGTAGAAACAAGAGCCCTTTGCAAACAGACACACACACACACTCTCTCTCGCTGCGTCCAGTCTCTTTGTGCAGAGGACGCCGGGAATGTCTGCCATCATTGGCAACTTGGCTCAGCATTGCACGGCTTGGCTCGAACTTTGTCAAAGTGCGTTCCGAGGCAGAGACTTGCTTTACGGCCCTTGGGGAATGTTTGGCGGCGACAATGACGACACAAAGCTGACCCCGTTTGGGTATGAGGTCCTCGCTGTGGCAGTGCCTGCGGCCTTGTGGATGTGCGCCAGTGGGCATCCTGACATCCTGGAAGTGGGATGGGAGCCGTGGACGCGTCTTAAACAGATTGCAGCAAATGACATACATCTATGCAACCTCCTTCCGCGAAACATGTACTATCAACGGGTGGTTAAACCCAAATGCGTAAATACAAGCAACACAGTTGTTGACTGCATATAGATATAGATAGGTGTGGACATAGGTACAAACTTTCATAAACTATCATAAGCATGATTTTGTATACTGGATGCGCATGCTTGCTTCGCAGACGCACCGGCGTCGGTTCCATCTCGTTGCATTCTGTGGAGAAATGTGGGTGAGTCGGAGAGCTGGAGAGGGAGGCGCCTGTTTGAATAGCGGCTGGGCTTCTCTGAACCTGGGTTGTGGGGTTGGAATGAGGATGAGGCTGGAAATGTGCAGAGGCGAGCCACACGTTTGCGGGGCCCCACATGTTCGGAAGGGGCATATCCTTGCCTTGCTTTTGCAAAGTTCCGCCGCGCTATCTCCGATGGCCTGCTGTCGAGCCAGCAGCAAGGATGTCGCCTCAAGGATGTCGCCCGGTGATGCACGTAGGCAGGCTTGCTGAGTATGTATGTTGTCGACATTATCAGAATAATTGCATGTGTTAAAGCAAGAAGTATCAAACGAACATCAACGGTGTGAAGTGGTAATCAAAAAAAGCAGAGATCTGGGCCTTGGGGTCAATGGCATGGGGTCCCTACACTTCATGGGATTCACGGGAGTCACTGGCCGGAAAGAACAGAGAGCCCTTGATCTGCCCTCGGGGCCGAAAAATCTCCAAGGAGCACCGCGGCCCGTCTGCGACCCTGGCGCTGCTTCGGATCCTCCTGGTCTACTGGCTGCTCGTTAATCCAAACTGGGGCGGGGAGACCCCCATCATGACATGGTATTCTCCGGACCTGTGGCCAGGAGGCCCACAAAGTGTGGAGGGGTGGATGGCAGTGGGGTGGGGAGGGGGGATGTTCACGATGTTCCCTGAAAAATGTTCCCTCGGATGTTCCCTTGTTCTCGGCAGGCGAGGCCATGCAGGCCGCTCTTGCCCTCGTCCTGGTCTGTCTGGCGCTGGGCATCTTCGCCCCCTTGGCTGCGGCCGTAGCAGCAGCAGCCTTCAGCTTGGGTTGCACTCGCTTTGACCCGGATTGCCCCACGCAGCCCTGCCTAAGTGGTGTTCACACTTTGTTGTGATTTTGGCACGCGGGGGCACGAGGGGGGAGGAACTTCTGTGCTAGTGTGACTGTAGGCAGCATGCGGCGATGGTGCTCCTTGGCACAAGTAGCAAGTAGCGTACCCCAACGGAACCTTCACCCAGACCCTACTTCGCAGGAAACCATGAAAACGAAACCTTGGGGGCCCGTAGGCTGCTGATCCTGGCCTTTGCCCCTTGTGATGACTGCTTCTCTTTGAAATCACTTCTGGAGCGGTTCCACCCGGGATGGCGTGGCTGGAGCCGCGGCGGCGCAGCTGAAATTCAGATGAATCCGTCTCTGGCAAGTTCGGGAAAGCTATTTTGCTTGGCGTAGGCGCTTCAAATACAGCAAGACTTACAAGGCTGCAGGATGCGTGCCGCTGCCTGCCTGCCATGTGCGCAGCTCAGGTTGCAACAGCCCTTTGTGGGCGCAGTGCTTCTTGCGCCTGCAGATGAGCCTGCTGTACTTCTGGGCCGCCGAGTTCAAGGCTCGGCTGACCTGGATGCAAGGAAAGACGCTCTACCACGACATCAAGATCCTGGAGTATTCGCCTCTCAAAAGTGTCTGGTATTGGATCTTCTGGACGGAGCCCATGAGGCAAGGCTTTACGATGTTCCTGGCCTGGACCTCCCTTGCCCTGGAGCTCATTGTCCCCTACTTGCTATGGAGCCGCTGGATGCCATTATGACCTGGCATAGGACTTAGTGACTAGCATGATTTCCAAACCGTTGTGTGGATGTTCTCCCTCGTCTCCCGCTTCTCCGCTTCCCTCTTCCGGCCCCCGTCTTTCTCTCTCTCTCTCTCTCTTTCTCTTTCTGGCTCCTTCTCTTGCTTCGCTGAGGTTTCCTTTCTTCTGCGCGTAGTAGCTCAGTTCTTGTTTAAGGAGGTTCGTTTCTCTCGGCAAATAACTACCGTTAGCGTTCGGCGGCGATTGCGAGTGGGTCGCGAGTGTCACGGATGCTTTGCCATGGTAAGCTACGAGGAACCAATAAGATTCTTCATGTCAACTTTGTGTTGCATGTTCGTCAGGCTGGCATTTTGTGAGATTTTTCTTCCAAAGCCCCGAGGCAAAAGCGCTCACCCGTACGCCGTGGCCTTGGCAGCTCTCATGCATCTGAGCATGAGCCTGCCACTTTGCTGAAGCAGCTTCCTTCCGCCCTCCAAGCATCTCTGCAATTCCTCGTCGCCACGTTTTCAACCCCAGGTCCTGAAGCTCGCATCGGGTCTAGGGCTTGTTGAGTGTTGGGAGGGTTAGGGGTCCCATGGGGTCCCTCAAGTCTCCACTCTCCAGTTTAACAACCGCTCTCCACTGACAAGGCTTGCTGGTCAGCTCGGCGGCTTTTCGCAGATCTGCTGGATCACCCTCCTGGGTAGCCTGAAGGCCTAAGGTCTCAAAATTTGTCGCCGGGAGTGTTTTGCAATCTTTTGTCTAGCGCGAGTTTTCAGATAGGCATGCTTCAAACACGTTTGGTATTGTAGTAAGTATTCTGTATGTCGTAAGCATTCTTTTGTTTTGATTGGGTATCCTGCGAGAAGCGTGTATTTCAGAAGCACCTTCGTTGTCTTCTGTCAGAGGCGTGACTGAAAGACATTTGAAGGAGCCCTAAAGACCCTTAGCCGCGAGCCCCAGACGTCAAACACGAACTGCACTGACAAGCCTACGCCAGGACAAGCGAGTCGAGGACTTCTTGCAGGATCCGCGGAATTTTGTTCTGAGTGCACCTCGTCTTTAGAGGGGGGGGGGGGGGGGGGGGGGTGGGGGGCTGCATCAAGACCCTCATATTTAGATGCTTATTGTCTAAAGCAGCTTGACATATCTTAAGTTTCGAAAGCAAATTGAGTGTTGTCATCTCCGTTAAAAAGCAAGTTTAGCAAGAACCTTGAGTGTTTCTTGACCGTGATAAACAAGTAACGAACTACCAATTCTTTGCAGAAAGTCTCCGGCACGACAGAGCACTCAAGATGCGGGCTTGAAGATTGCACAGCGCATGGTTCCGTAGGCAGCTTGCTCTTTCAGTGTGCCTCCGTGCGTGAGTGAAGAACAGGTGTTGGGCGGCATTGCCCTGATGGCCACCATCGGGGATGCTTTCGAGATTCATGGTGAACCATACGGGAGCCTCGACCCTGGACAGAACATGCGCAGTGATGGAAGTCAGTGAAATCTGCACGCCGAATGAAGACCTTTCGGGTGGTGTGCTGGAGGCCTCGAAGAGGCACTGCAGAGAAAAGATTAAAGAAAAAGGACTGGCACTGGGGCAACATGGTGAGACCAGTATACAAGCAGCACCGCGGCAAAGGACTAAGATTCTGCAGAAGTTGCTACGGAGCCACGTGATTTCAAGACTGGCACTTGCCAAGAGCATAGCATGCACAGTCATGCATAGTCCATAGGCCCGCGCATGCCTATCTCCTATGTCATGCATGCTTGCATCAATCCACGACCTGAAGTTTGCATATCGCCACAGTGCATCATGAGCATGGTGCTCCAACTGCTGCCATGAGACATGCCCCTCGGCCAACAAGAATGTTGTCCCCTGAGAAGCGGGAGATCCTGAAGCCGTTTTTAACCTGCCCAAAGCAGGCCTTTGTGTAGGGGTTCGGGGAAAGTTTAGGACCAGAAATCCTTAGCACGATTTCCACGATTTCAGTCCTGGACCATATCAATGGGATCCCCCGGAACAAAGTGAGCTCACTTCCACCCCGCTAGTCACGAACCCCAAGAGCGGACGCAGCAAAGTGAATCGCCAAGCCGGATTTGCCCGGAGATGGGTAATTCTGTAGTTATGTAATGGCTGACGATGAAGCCCCCAAAGGTACTTATTTGTATGTTGGGGCCTTTAGAGAAGGAGGCAAGGGTCCATTCGAGTTTCAGTCTGCTGTCAGGCTCTGTGAGTGCTGCAAATATGATGAGCCCGATTCCGATTTCCTCCGACCGGCTTCCTGGTAGCAAGAAGCAAAGCCACCCATCATGCCCCATAGTAAAGACTCTCACAAGCCTGTCGCTCTAGGAGTCCATCCAGGCCAGTCTTGTGACTTGGCTGGCATTCCTTGACGATTCTTACCCCCAAATTTCTATACGGCCCCCATTGAAAGCTCGAACCCATGAAAAGAGCCCCCCCTGTGCCAGTATACGGACGAAGTGGCCGCGAAGCTCAAGCAGCGCCAGGTCGGCTGAGAGACTTTTCACACTGTGCCATGCAAAAAGGCTGCAGGCCCTTTCATGGCCCGTTGCTGAGACTGCTAAGAGTCCTCATACTTGGCTTCGTCTTTCGACTTCGTGCGGTGGCCGACTCTATAATCATATATAGATTTGCCCAGCGCGCGAGGAGCTCACGATGTGTGGCATCGACGCGGAGGAGCGGTCGGCCGGTCGGCCGAAAGTGCCCACCTACTCCATCCTACTCCCATAAGTTGTCGCCATTTCAGCACTCCAGCGTAGTTTTTACTCAAAGAAGTCAGCGCGCCGACTTCCGAAAGCAGAGCAGCTTAAAGCTGTAGGGTTGCGGGGCCACGAGGATGCGCCGTTCGCAGAGCTCGAATCGGAGTGCTTTGAGATAGAGGCGGGGGCGTCAGATCTGTGAAGTCATGGAGCCTGCGGCGTGTTCTTGGTGCACTGAGTACGCTGGCTGCGTCTTGGGGTTTCCGAAATCAACCCGCTGCTTGGGGAAAAACAGTCCTTGCAAGTGCTTCCGTTGTTGAAGCTGGCGCGGCTCAAGCTCTCGGGATAGCGCAGCATGCCTACGCAGCAGGGCAGAGCAATTGGGCAGACCAAACCATGAAGATCAGATGGAGAGAGACACAGAGAGACACGGGTGTGAGCCTAATGCCGTGCCAGCCATAGCTGCTATGTCAGGACTGTTCCAAAGGTGGTAGCCTGGCTTTCATGGGGGTTTGGAGCTTGTTAGGGCTTAGCAAGGGCTTGCAGGTTTGGCAAGGCACAAGTTTCGGGGGTTTGACCGGCTTCACCTTCAAAGGGCCGGTAAATCGGGAGTTTACCCTTCATCCGATACATCGGACAAAGCGTTCAGGTGCACATTCCCATACGGCAGGGGGAGGGGGGGGGGGTCTCCCCCTCTGGCCCCGCCTCAAGATGCTGTTGAGTTTTCGACCTGAAACCCCTCAAAGGTTCTGCATGAATAGACACATAGTGACATGCCGAAACCGCCCCCCGGACATGGCGGTAAGGCGGCAGCGCAAAGAGGAACAGAAAGAGCGATTACCGGGACGACACGTTTTCTGTTCAGAGCTTCGGTGTCAATAAGTTGAAGATGTGTCCAGAAGATACCGTGTGAATGGGAGAGCGAAGCGATAACAAAAATCCCTTAATCTCCCAGCTTCTGATGCACTAGTTTCACGGGTTTTTTTAAGGTTGCATCTCAGATTCCAAGTGAGCAACAGAGGGCCGAAGGTGGGGTTCAACATGCTGTCCTTTGGTCAGCGTTCGGTCGCACGTGCCCACTCGCTTTCGTCCGAGCTGATGTCGAGACGCAAGCAGAGCACGACGTGCTCTCAACCCCCCTGAGCCCCCTCAAACCCGTTGAACCCCCCTGTGGCACCCTCCTTGAGCCCCTCAACGGTCAGCCCAGGTCTTGCCTTTGGTGTCTCCTTGTGCTCTCTGAGGGAACCTTGGTCCAGGTCTCCCCAGCTTGTTGGCCTTACCTGGCCATCTATGGCTGCAACATCACGTCTGAGCATTCAGGGCTCGAAGGGGTTTAGGATGGTTTAGGGCTTGAAAGAGCCTGTGGGGCTCTTTGCTTGGTTGGCTTGCGCCAGGTTTCCGTCGACGGTACTGGCCGCAGCCACAGCCACAGGCCGGGTCGGGGCTACTTTTCCCACGATGTCAGATGCGTGCTTGCTGCTTGCATCATCTCTGCTTGTGCAGGTCAGGATTGCTTCGCACCCCGGCTGGCAAGCAGAACCCTCAGAAAGCCCCTTTCTCGCAGCGCCGAGGGACATCTGACCCTGGATCCTGTTGTGTTCATGGCTGTTGACGATTTCATATGTCCTTCAAAGCATTGCCCCTAAGCTCTCATGCTTCCAGGCTAAATATCTCCCTAAACCCTGAACTTGGCCCAGCTGGAGCCAAGGAAGGGAGCTGGAGTGGCCCGGACTTTTGAGATGTCAGGGCTTAGGGGCAATTTTAGGGGTGTAGGGCTTTGCAAACCACTTTGGGTTTCGCTGCGGAAGAGACTTTGAAGTTGCAACTCAACGTCCTTTTGCCGTCCTCACCTCAGGGTTGAGATGGGCGTCAGCTTCTAAACCCGAAGCCTGAGCCCCAAAACCCTCAGCCCAGCAATCGAGGCACTATGACCTGCTCATTATCATCCCTGCCAGCGCAGAAAGGGACCAGCAGCGCATGGATGCGGTGCCTTTGCCGGTGTAAGCACTCTGAGCGGACACAAGCACGCTCAGTTCGGGAAGGACAGAGAACCCCGGACATTCGCTGATTAATGTTGACGGACCTTAACGGGGCTCAGACGGCATCTGCTGAGGCTAATGGGGATACTTCTCCGTTTTGTGCATCCATCCCTGCGCAGAACCTGTCAGTGTGGCTGAGGTCAGAGAGACTTGGACGCTGGACATTGATCCCGATACCCATCGATGTGAAAGGTGGGCCAGTGGGGGTGTTGTTGGTTCCAGTAGTTCCTGGCTGGACTGCAAGTTCTGAAAGTTCTGAAAGTTCTGCAAGTTGTGCCAGAGGTGCAAGAGTAACCGCACTGTGAAGTATCTCTTCCTCTTGGGGGAAGAGGCAGCAGACGAGGCCAGCAGAAGGGATGCAGAAGGGATGCTACTGTTATCGTGGCATCTCGCGTGGCATGTCTTGGCATGCTTGGGTGTTGGTCGCAAATCGGGTTCCACGCGTGCGGCAGCAAAAAGTGTGCGAGCGAGAGGCACCCGAGCTGGACGTCGCAGTTTTGCGAAGGCGCTCGGGGAGTGCTCTCAGCTCCGATCTGACAGAGACATCCAAGTACGGCTCCTCGTAGCGCCTCCAGGTGCAACAGTGATTATGAGCATCTTGCACACAAAGTCCGTCAGGGGATCCGCTATGCTTTGATCTCGGCAGTATTTTCCTGTGAGCTAAACTCCTCTGAAGCTTAAAAAGTCCGAAGACTCAGGCAGTCACGCATTACAGCTTCCACGTGCTGCTGAAAGCAGCACCTCGGCTTCATAGATTCAGGCTTCTGATGATCATCCTAAACGAAAAGGACCTCACACGCCTCCCTCAATCCGAACCCTTCCACCCAGTCAACAGGATACCGACTCCTGGATTTTCCTGGATCGCCTGATCGACTTTGCTGAAAGCCACCGCCTGTTTGCGAGGCTTTGGGGGGGGGGGGGGGTGGGGCCGAGAATCCCAGCGCAATTTTAGCATAAGCCAGCAATGTTGTAATAAACGTATCAAATTCTGGGTACACCAGGGCACCTCCAGGGCACTTCCAGGGTGCCCCCTAGAGTACCCCATAATACCTCAAGGTGCCTCCAGGACAGAATACCCCCAGCATCCCCCCCCCCCCCTCCTTGAAAAGAAAACCCCAAACCCTGGAACTTTGGAAAGCGAAAAAGCCTGCAATTCTGAAAGTTCATGCATACGAGACAAACAGGTTACTCTCGGTGTAGTTCTCTAGATTAAGGTCCTGATGATCAGAGTGCCGTACTATCTATCGGACCCCAAAAGGGGACTGATATGTTGCCTTCAAGCATTGGGCTCTCTCTGCAGTTTCCAAAGCGCTGCTTGGGCCTCAACCTGCAGAATTTGCGGGGTTCAGGTTTTCCACCCTTCCAGGGGTTGTCGGATCCTAGGCTTCACACCCCGCGCTGAGGTCCGCAGTCCACGCTGGCGAGATCCGCCGCCATGGCAAGCCTCAAACCTACAAAGGCGCACAGAATCGCGATGAGGCGGCTCTGTTGGGCTTCCCCTGCCCCCGGCTTTTCCCCCCCCGAACTCGAAAAGCCCCTGCAGATCCCAAACGTCATGATGTGAGCAGATATGATGAAGGACACGAGAGGAGGGAGTTGGAACAGTAGTGCCTCATGGCCCCTGCCCCCCCCTCCCACCTCTCCTTTCCAAGATCCTTGCTGCAGGTCTTCAGCCAGCTCACAAGCCAGGACACCTACCCGGTCTACACTCCTGGCTGCGGCTATCTCCTGACGCGGGATCTTTGTTGCCTGGCTTGTCCCAAGTGTCCACAGGCAAAAACGTCTCAGCCGGAGCTGTAGGAGTCACACCCTTTGCATTGCTGAAGGCAACTACATCAGCCTGCTCTCCGAGGTCGGGCATCGCAACTTGATGTGAGGTATGCTGTCACGCTGTCTCATGCTGTTGGCGACTCGCGACGTGGCAGGATCACCACCGAAGAGCCAAGGATCGTGGCGGTGAGGTCCCCCGTCCCCCGTAACACGACCCTGCTCGCAGCTGAAGACTTGCTTTGACTTGCTTTGGGCAAGATGGAAAGTTTCTGCCTGGGCAGGACGCAGCTCTGCCTGGGCTCATGGAGCTCCCACAAGAAGACGTGGCAGCTTCTGAACTGCATGACCCTTTCAATGATGCTTTCTTTGCCTCTTTTGACTTCTGTTCTTGCGGCGCTGTTCCCCTTTTTTTCTGTTCCCTTCGTTTGTTTGCGATCTCCGGCTTGCGGGCTTGGTTTCAATGCTTGTTGTGTTTGCTTTGATTTGACTGTCGAAGATGCTTCCACGTTGGGTCCCTACAAACCAGTGCCCCAAACTGTTGCTCCATGAGTCGACGAGTTGGCGCATGTCTACACCTCTTCGCGTACTTGCTTCTACTCTTTGGAAGGCTTTAACAAAAAACTAGACACCGATTATCCCGAAAGCAATCAGTGCGAAGATATCAACTGACACTTAGAGTTGGTTGTGTTGTCAGTGCGGTGATCGTGGTGTGGTGTAGTAGGATAGGAAGCAGGTGTCGCGTCGACAGCGAAAAGGACGCGAAACGCAAAGAAGATGGAATAGAATAGGCAGTGTAGAGAGGCCGTGTATAGCTGAGGCGATGGTAGCGCGATGACGGCAATGGGGTGATACCACGTACACATGCCAGCATGCAAAAGTCCCACATGGCCTGAGGCGCCTGCTGCCATGTTGTGAACAGATCAAAGCATAGCTCTGCATGAGCGCAGGACAAGATGTCATCCGCAATGATTGCGTGCCCACACGAGAGCCGTCGCGCTATTTGCTTCGCCGTTTTCGAAGCTCCAGAGTTCCGCGCCCACGGTGTTTGCGAGGTTTTCGAAGCCCCGGAGTTCCGCGCCCACGGTTTTTGCGAGGTTTTCGAAGCCCCAGAGTTCCGCGCCCACGGTATTTGCGACGTTTTCGAAGCCCCATGAGTTCCGCGCCCACGGTATTTGCGAGGTTTTCGAAGCTCCAGAGTTCCGCGCCCACGGTGTTTGTGAGGTTTTCGAAGCCCCAGAGTTCCGCGCCCACGACGTTTTCGGAGCCCCAGAGTTCCGCGCCCGCGGTATTTGCGATGTTTTCGAAGCCCCAGAGTTCCGCGCCCACGGTATTTGCGACGTTTTCGAAGCCCCAGAGTTCCGCGCCCGCGGTATTTGCGACGTTTTCGAAGCCCCAGAGTTCCGCGCCCACGGTATTTGCGACGTTTTCGAAGCCCCAGAGTTCCGCGCCCACGGTATTTGCGACGCTTTCGAAGCCCCAGAGTTCCGCGCCCGCGGTATTTGCGACGTTTTCGACGCCCCAGAGTTCCGCGCCCACGGTATTTGCGACCCTTTCGAAGCCCCAGAGTTCCGCGCCGATATTTGCGAGGGTTTCGACACCGCGGAGTTCGAGTCCCACGGCGTACTACGTTTGTACTACAGAAAGTCGACTTTCTACTACAAAAGTCGACTTTCCCGCCACGGCAGCTCCGGGCGTCCGCGGCGTACTACGTTTGTACTACAAAAGTCGACTTTCCAGCCACGGCAGCTCCGGGCGTCCGCGGCGTACTACGTTTGTACTACAAAAAGTCGACTCTCCAGCCACGGCAGCTCCGGGCGTCCGCGGCGTACTACGTTTGTACTACAAGTACTACGTCTGTACTACAAAAAGTCGACTTTCCAGCTACGGCAGCTCCTGGCGTCCGCGGCGTACTACGTTTGTACTACAAAAAGTCGACTTTCCAGCTACGGCAGCTCCGGGCGTCCGCGGCGTACTACATTTGTACTACAAAAAGTCGAGGCAGCTCCGGGCATCCGCCAAGAGGAGAGGAAGAGGTGAGGAAGGCTCCGACACGCACGATCCCCGCAGAGGGTGCACGACCACGCTTGAAAATACGCAAAAACGCACAGCGGGAGTGCTCCGACACGCGCGATCCCCGCAGAGGGTGTGCGAAGCAAGTTGCAAAATGCGCAAAAACGCACAGCGGGAGCGCTCCGACATGCACGATCCCCGCAGAGGGTGTGCGAAGCAAGTTGTACAATGCGCAAAACCGCACAGCGGGAGCGCTCCGACACGCACGATCCCCGCAGAGGGTGCGCGGGCGCACATCGAAATGCGCAAAAACGCACAGTGGGAGCGCTCCGACACGCACGATCCCCGCAGAGGGCGCGCGGGCGCACATCTAAATGCGCAAAAACGCACAGCGGGAGCGCTCCGACACGCACGATCCCCGCAGAGGGCGCGCGGGCACACATCTAAATGCGCAAAAACGCACAGCGGGAGCGCTCCGACACGCACGATCCCCGCAGAGGGCGCGCGGGCGCACATCTAAATGCGCAAAACGCACAGCGGGAGCGCTCCGACACGCACGATCCCCGCAGAGGGCGCGCGGGCGCACATCTAAATGCGCAAAAACGCACAGCGGGAGCGCTCCGACACGCACGATCCCCGCAGAGGGGTGCATCGCGCTAGCCGCGGCGAAACCCACCCCAGCCTAAGAAATAAGAGAGAATTTAATAGCGGAAGTGATGTGATGGTACTGTGGTGATGGTAGTGTGGAGATTGGAGTGTGGTGATTGTATAGTGTGGTGATGGTAGTGTGGTGATTGGAGTGTGGTGATTGTAGTGTGGTGATGGCAGGTTGACGTTTTTTTTCCGAAGAACCCTTCGCTGAAGCTTTCGGGAACAAGCCTTGCATGCTGAAGTCTAGGTCTGGTGGTGCCGTAGCCGCACTCCTACCATCATCTGCCGCCACCGTCCCCTCCTCTCCTGGTCTCCCAGCACGGCTGCCGGTGCTAGCTCGTAGCTGCTGGCTGAGGTTGGATTCTGGTTGGAGGCATGGCCGAATCTCGGGTCCAGGGTTAGTCCGTGGCTCTCTCTTCGACAGCCCCGATGGTTCATAGAGTGCAAGTTTCCTGCATAAGTGGTGAGGTGAGTTTATGCTGCCGGCATCAACTTGACAGAGTTGCAGTAGCGAGGTTGTGGCGACTAGCATGGCCATACTCACAATGACAAGCCATGCAGCCTACCTTAAAACCCACCGTAAACCCGGGAGGCAGTCGACCACCAGCGGTTGAGCATGCCCTTGTCCATCTTCGGAGATGCCTGCCGAATCCTGGCCCAGCAGTTGAGAAGGTTTCGGGGGGGAAGTGTAGGTTTTGAAGGCATACTTCCAGGTGCAGTTGCCGGTAGGGCTTTCTGTGCTGAGGGTGGAGGGTCCAGGGTGCGGGCTAAGTCACGGTTCAGAGTAGGAGGAGTTCAGGAGTTGGGAGGCGGACTCGTAGACTGCCAGAGGCATGCGTCGAGGCCTGCCTGGAAACACGTGTTCTTCCCTACCACGACTTGATTAACGTGAGCGCAAGGAAGATCGGATGGCGAGTCCCTGGTGCTGGATCACTACGTCTCGCAGGATCTCTTGCCCTTGGAGCTGTGGGTTGGCTGTAGGGTATGTGTAGTTCGCTGTCAACATGAGAACTTCAGAGCAAGCCACGGTGCAGAACACCATCCACATTCGTAAGTGGCCACGCGTTTGCGAAGGGCAGTTGGAACCGAGGGCAGTTGGAACCTCGTCTCTGATGTGTGACAGGCCGATGCTTTCAGGATTTCTGGCTGATATTTCCAGTTTCGGTAGTTAATGGAATTTTCGTTTCGCACCTCGCTGAGAATTTCCGCTACTGCATTTTCACTTGTGGGTAGTGGCACCCCTCGTTGGTGGTGGGATTCCACTCATGGGATTTATGGTGAGCCCAATGTTCCAGGATCAAATGCATCGCAGATGGCACAATCTGCAACAGAGTGGAGACCCGTGTCACGGAGAGGCCTCGAGATGTTGGGATCATTCCCTTGCACAAGCCTAAGCCCATCTGTGTCTGATCTGTCTCGTGCGCGGGCTGGGCGGGGCCGTGCAGTAAACTCTTTACTACTAAACCCTGCATGTGACGTTGACCTGCTTGCTGGCGAATGTGCAATAATTTGCATAGATGAGACAACTTCAAGCCATGTTCAAAAGGCGTCTCACTGTCAAAGCTGCTGTCGAAGGCCGGCGCTTTCTGACGCGACCCTTCCGCTCGTGCGCTGCTGGCAGCGACTGGAAGCACCCGTTGCAAGGACCTATCTGCAGGGTTGCTCTTGAGTTAGGGGTCATTTTCTGGGCGTCCCTTCTTGGGTTCCTGTCGTATCGTTTTTCTCCAACGTGATCTCACGCTGTGGATCCTTTCGTGAGGACCCGCGCCTGCTGCTACATGTAGCCGCTGTGGAGACTCACTTGCCCGGGGCGGAGAGCGAAGAAAAGCCCGTACACACTGCTCTTTTGAGTTGTCCCGGCTCCAACCCAGAAGCCCGATTTTGAAGCTCTCAGCCTCTGCCTCCCAGTAGGCCCCATATCCCCGAGCCGTAGACCTCGAGTTCCCTCACGCCCCCGCTCCACCCCGTAGATCACCCTTAAACCCCTCTCATATCACCCAAATTGAAATTCATTTTACCACCCTCCTGGCCCAAAACCCTTCAAGCTTGTCACCTTCCGAGCACGAGCAGGTTTGGAAGATGTCCGGGGTGGCTCGGCGGCAAGTTCTCGGGTTTTCTGGGTCGCAGTGACCCTTAGGAATTTCTTGAGCTTGGTAGAAAAACAAGAGCTGTATGGTTAGATTGGGTTGTGGAGCAACCCCCTTGAGCTGACACCCCCTCAGCACAGCGCCTAGTCAATCTTTCAGACTATCCGGGTAGAGCTCACGAATTCGCCATGTACCCGGGCTTGGTGTTGCTCTACAGGGCCTACTTAAAGCCCAACCCCAACCTCGGTCGAGCCGCCGAAGCCTTTTCAGGACAATGACAGTTTCGGCTTGGAGCTGGACCTCACCAATCCTCTGCCGCTTGGCGCGCCCCTTCTGGACCTGCAAGCCGCTGCAAGCCTGTTTAATCTCAGACCTTACAACCATTTACAGCCCTTTTTAGCTAACAAGGACAACGAGCACGAGTCGAAGCGGAGCCAGTGCTTGCCGAAGATTGGCGTAGCTTACGGTATTTTCTGAACAATATCATGCGCTTTACTACTGTGACTAGTGTTGTCACTCTTATTTTTGTGAATACGATTATCAATTATTATTGCTATGACTACAAGTAATATTACAATGATAAAACGATGATTTCTTTTCCATTATTTCTAGTGTTTCTATGGTTTCTATTGATTCTGCTGTTTCTCTCATTTCCATTAGTTCTCTTTTTCTATTATTTCCATTATTTCTCCTGTTGTTTCTATTTTTCTCTTCTAAATAGTCTTCTTATTTATACTTTTATTCTCATCCGTGATATTGCGATTAGTACGATAACTGCTATTCATACGATTGCATCGCAATAAGTGCTATAGCTGCGATTGATTAATACCATCATTGCCGTGAAGACCTTTATTACTAGCATTATCGTTGCTACGATTCTAGTGAAATTCGAGTGGTCATCGAAGGGACCTTGGGCCTCATAAGGCTGCCGATCATCTCGAGTGTGCTACCAGACAGTCAAGCGGTGAGGCTCCGTGCGCAGGATTGGTTGTGGTGGTTCCAAGCTAGCCCCCCCTCCCCCTCCCCCTCCCCCTCCCTCAGAAAACAACAAAGTTGTATGCAAGCCCTGAATTCAGAGCGGTGCACGGGGAGAACGCCTCGGAATGTGGTGAATATTTGATCAGCAGTCGCTGCTGTCTATGTTGCTGGTCGAAGTACCAAGCTTCTCACTTGTGTAGTGCATATATATATATGTATATATATTAATATAATTATATATTAATAAATATACTGACCGAAGACGGTTGTTCGAGGTCCCTATCTCTCTCTCGGAATCGAGAGTTCAGCCTCTGAGGGGTTTGGGAGTTTGGCGGCCCGTAGGTTTTAAGGCTTTCAGGCGTGTAAAGGGTGTCAAAGGGCTCGGTGGCAGGTCAGGCAACAGGATTGCCGAGCACGTGCAATTTGGAATTTGGGTTCTCCGTGCAAAACGCTTTCAACTTTGAAGGAGCAGGGGCTTTCTCCTGGGAACGTGATGTCTGCCTTGTTACATGGCCCACCCAACGCATACATACTCCCCTACTTCCCACAGAGAACAGCGATTGGTCGATTGCATTCGGCAAGGTGGAACCGCCGCGCAACGCCCAACAGGCTACTTTCCGGCAAGCTAGTGGTCTGTGCTTGGCAGACTCGGCTCAAGATAACCCTCAACCCTCAACCCTAAAACCTAGAACCCGAAACCCTGCGTAGGTGTCGAACCCCCACGGCCCTCCGATTTCCTGAGCTGCATATTGAAAAAAAGTTCTTAAAATAGGTTCTCACATCAACAACCCCAAAAAGAAACTCCAAACACATGCTGTGAACCCAAGGCAGCTACTTCCTGGGCTGGGCCTCTACAGAGTGAATGAGGTCGATGAGGCAATTGAATCCCCAAACCCCCCATAAACCCCCCAAAAAAGCCTGAGAGGGCTCTGCTTTTCCAGGTGCCGTGCTTCGGGGGTTCTCGGTCTTAGGGTTGGCGAGCCGTTGTGCAATCTTCGAGACATGTACGCAGTGATTTTAATCCGTCCCACGCATGCATGCATGCATGCGTGCGTGCATGCATGCACGTGTGTCTCGCACCTTCAAGTGTCATGTAGCGTGTGCTAGTCTTACAATAAATCGCCTCTGTGGCCTTCGCTTTGGGGGGCGTTTGCCAAAGCAAGAATGATACTTTCCAGGCTCGCGCGAAGCTCGGCACAGTCGCGCTTTCAAGCTGCTGTGTTTGTACCGAGTTCGTACCGACCGTCTGATTTGACCTTTGTAGCAAAAAGCAGCTCTCTGATGACTGCACTAGCCAGAATGGCCTGACCAGTGCAGATATTTTCCAGTCTTGCACGCAAATTCTGGTAGCAACAGTTTTCGTTCGGCGTGGGATTCACATGCACAAACACACCGGATCTCTGCTCCTTCTCGCCATTTACCCCGAAACCCAAAACCCAAATTTGCCACCTCAAGCGGTTCTTGGCGGTGTGTAAAATCGGAGTTCGTCACAGCCAGGGTGCCCAGAAGATTGCTGCCGAGCTGCTGCAGGGCAAAGGCTGCATGAAGCTCGGCCACGCCCTTACACACCAAAGGTTGAGCTTAGGAGTGACATTCTTTGCGCGACTGAAGGTTTCAAGTGGCCAAGCATACAGAACGTGTCGCGGCCCCGGTGCTTTTGCAAGTCTCCTCCACATCTCACTCTTGCAGATTCCCCGGTGAGGACATTGCCGCATCCTGGTGGCCTACCTCTGGGGCTCCAGATGGCGCTTCCGGAACATGAGGCCTCGTCTCCCATCTTTTTTTCCGGCCGGGTTCGGGATGATGGCGCGGGTTCGATTCGACGCCAGTATGTAATCTGCAGAATCGCTACTCTGCAACATAAACGTGGAAGCTCAGGGGCTGAGATCATGTGGGTCACCGGTCTTAAGGCTTCTTGAGGAGCTGAGGGCGTGAATTGAGAACCGTACGAGTGGTTGAATACCGTGAATAGGTGCTGACCAGTGACAGCAGGCTGGAAGCAGTCTACCTGTTCTGCCAGTAGTCCTGAAATTCGATCTAAGCTCTAAGCTCTAAGCTCTAAGCTCTAAGCTCTAGGCTCTAGGCTCTAGGCTCTAGGCTCTAGGCTCTAGGCCCTAGAGGCTCTAAAGCTAGAAACTCCACAGGCTCGAAGCTCTAAGCTCTAAGCCATTTTAAGCAAATAGCCCCGGCACCGATCAGCACCGGCAACCTGCGAGCCAACCTGTTGCTGAAACAGAAATGCACGGGTGGACTCCTTAAACCTTGAGCCCCCGTGAATTGTCATGTGTCATGCATGGTCATACATTGTCATACCGTAAGTCATACCGGTCCCAACAATGAACTCCACCCGGGTCCACTCCGCTGACATCGACAGAGCAGGCTGTGGGCCTACTCTACCTCGAACATGTAGAGGGAATCGGCGCCTCTACTGGCCTACAGGCAATCGGGTAGAAGAGCTGCAGACTGGTGGTTTCGGTTTCCTGTTGTGCAGTTTCACTTAAATCTGGTTAAGCTCAGAGGAGGCATGTCGGACATCAAGAAGCCTTCTAAACTCTCAGCATCTTCTGCGCCATCGTAACAGTTGATGACGCGTGGTATTCTTGGCTGTCAGTGTGGCTCGCATTGAGATGTTGAGATAAAGTGCAGGCCGGCATGCACATTCGAGCTGTCGACGGACGTCGCAGCAGCCTAGAAGAAATGAAGAAGGACAGACTATTGCCATGAAGCACAAAGTAAGCACGAGTCGCTGCTTGCAAAGCAGTTCAAAGCAGTGTTGCCATTTGAGGGCCGAAGCTGAGCTCAGGAGATTGAGGAAGCAACCACAATGCCTGGGCCTCTTCTGGCTCTTTCAAAGTGTGAGCCCTCTTCGCTAGTCAGTGTGGAGCTGGAGTGGCATCGCCGAAGCCTAAGCCCAGCACGTTGAAGCCACTTTGAGGTTGACGCTCCGGGTGGCATCCTATGCGTAGACGCCAGCCGCAAACGAGATCACGCATGATCCCTGCCGGCAGTCGCGAAGCGAGACTCTGCTAATGCAGGTCGATTTGCCGTTCTCACCCTTTTGTGCAGGACCTACTGGGTGAATTCAGCCCAGCTGTATGCCTTTTTTAAGACTTTCGGCCGCCCTGCAAGAACGTGTTGTGCAGGTTGAGTCAGAGGGCATGCCAACCTTCGTATACTCCAAGCTTCGACTCCTTCCTACTAGTACTTCCTTCCAACAGAGAACAGAAGAATTCGAGAAGTCCATTCTCAAGCAGCCGCAACGAGACTGGAAATGGACATGGCAGCCGTCTGAATTCCTTCAAAGCAAACCCGCCCTTTTTGAGGTGGCCTAGCGGCGGCCTCACAGTGGCAGGTGCGTTGCGTATGTTGCTGCAGGCAGTGGCAGGAGTCCGACTGTCGGCTTTCTGCAACAAAGCCATTTTCACAAAGTTTAAAGAATGCTCACCCCCGTGGCCGCAGTAGTTGCATGTTGCGTTGCGCGAAGCAAGGCCCGCCTTTTGAAAAAAGGCACGCGGTCGGTAGAGACTTCCTTCATGTGACTCATCGGTGTGCGTTGACCCGGTTTGTCAACTGACCTTGGCTGGGCATACTTTAGCCTCACATGTGTGGTCTGCGTCGTTTTCTGCGAAGATGCTTGGAACCGAGCTTGCAGATGCCCAAGAGAGGTGGCAGTCAACGTGGAAACTCAAATCGCCCGAATCGTCAGAGCAAGAACAAGAACCAAGAACCCTAAACCCTAAACCCTAAACCCTAAACCCTAAACCCTAAACCCTAAACCCTAAACCCTGAACCTTAAACCCTGAACCCTAAACCCGATATTTGGCCAAGAGACCTTCTTGTTGCCCTGCCGCTGCAGCCGGGAGAGCCATGTCCAGACCTAGACGCTAGAAAGGCCAGCTCTGAAGGAGGCTTAAGGAGGTTGAAGGAGGCTTACGTAGGATAAGGACGTTTCAGGAGGTCTAGGAGGTTTAGGAGGTTTAGAAGGGGTTGATAAGGTCCAGGGTGTTTGGTGTTCAAGGTTTAGAGTCAACACTTTTGCTTTTCTTTTTTTTTTTTGGGGGGGGGGGGGGGGGGGGGCGGGAAGGGGAGTCAGGGTTTCAAGTGAGCCTAGAAAGTCCGAGTGTGGATGACGAGTTCCAGAAGCCTTGAGGCCCCCGCCTTCCAAGGGTTCCTCGGAACCCTCAGATTTTTTTCAGGATCCCGGGAGCCTTAAACCCAAAAAACCCTAAACCCTAAACCCTAAACCCTAAACCCTAAACCCTAAACCCTAAACCCTAAACCCTAAACCCTAAACCCTAAACCCTAAACCCTAAACCCAAAACCCTAAACCCAAAACCCTAAACCCATCCTAAACCCTAAACCCTAAACCCTAAACCCTAAACCCTAAACCCTAAACCCTTTCGGGTTTGAAGCGAGGATCTCGCTGGGCTCCGTTAGGCCTGTCCGTTGCGCGCCTCAACCACTTAGTTGAACCCTAAACCCTAAAACCCTAAAACCCTAAAACCCTAAAACCCTAAAACCCTAAAACCCTAAAACCCTAAAACCCTAAAACCCTAAAACCCTAAAACCCTACAACCCAAAACCTAAAACCCTAAAACCCTAAAAACCCTAAAACCCTAAAACTAAAACCTAAAACCCTAAACCCTAAAACCCCTAAAACCCTAAAACCCTAAAACCCTAAAACCCTAAAACCCTAAAACCCTAAAACCCTAAAACCCTAAAACCCTAAAACCCTAAAACCCTAAAACCCTAAAACCCTAAAACCCTAAAACCCTAAACCCTACCGCCCTTGAAGGGGCGATACCCCATGCCGCCCGCCGTGCCTTTGGATCAGAGAGAAGCGTTTTGGGGGGGTCAGGGTTTAGGTCCTTGATTTTTTTGAGGGGTTGGGTTCCAAGAGTGTCTCAAGGATTTTGGGTTCAGAAGGGGTGTTCAAGTCTCGGAGAAGCTCCGGGTTCAGGATTTCTGAGTATGATCGGGGTTTAGGCTTTGGGCGTTCTCTGAGGCGGGACCGGGCAAACGAAGAACTCTGTAAGCAACCGTAACCGTTCCCTGACAAGGAGTCCTGTGCGCCCGAAGTAGAAAGGCTGGAGTTTCGGGGTCATGGGTAGAGAAGCTTTGAAGGCAGTCCATTCACATGACTGCAGCGATGAATTTGGAGTTTCTTGCAGCTAGGGAAAGCCTTGCGAACGCCCCGATTTCCTGACATGTGTGTACTTCAGAATCACAGTCTATTCCTGCTTGCATGGCAAGAAGTATTTGCGAACTCGCTGGCACGTTGTCAGAACTGCCCTCGAAACGAACTTAGCATGGCACATCGTGACAGTGCCTGTGCTCAGTCACCAAAGCGGCTGAAGAGCAGTCAAAGCAGTCGAAGCCAACAAAGCCTGCCGCCGGCTGTGCCTTGGCTGATACTTGGGCATTGCCATGGAATACCTCAGTCACATAAGTCAGATAAGGCATCCCGTCTCCTCGCTCATGGCACCTTAAGCTACCTGCTGTGCTGTGCCAGTGCTGTGCCAGTGCTGTGCCCTGCTGTGCGTTGTCTCATCCTTGGCTTGGCAGTCCGGGTCAGGAGTCCCGAGCGCAGACGCCCGGCAGCCTCCGCCATGCCGCCGTCCTGGGATCCAAGAGGCGCCTGGCCCATCATGGCCCCCCGCTTCTGCTTCTGTTGCAGTCAATGCTGCAGGTTATGGTATGGTTATGGTGGTCATACGGTAACTAGGGTACCATCGTTGGTGGCATTGGCGGTGAGGGCGTTGTTGATGATGCTGGTGCAGTCACAGTCGCCTTTATCGGTCGTTGTTGTTGCGTCTACGTCTACGTCGACGTCGTTGTCGTCATTGCGGTTGTGGTTGTCGTGATGGTTGCTGTGCCTGCGGTTGTGGTCGTCGTAGCTTCCTTGGCTAGTGACTCTGGTGACTTGCTGAAAAAAGTGCCGCTTTCAGTTCACTGCTGAGGTCCTCCATCCACTCCACAAGTGACGACTCACTGGGCCCTGGCAGGGTGCAGCGTGGGAACCTGGAGATGTTTCTTCTGTAGCACGTTAAGAGTTCATTTCCTCAGAACGGCAACTTGTTGGTGGATCTTGCTCCGTTTTTGTACAGTTGCGGGCCGTGCAGGCTGTGCCACCTTATGATTTCGCGCAGATGTTGGGGGCGGTTGGGTTCGGGATCCCGAATCGCCATTTTTCAGCAAGGTCTCCCTTGGCAGATCTGCGCCCGGTGGTCGTGGCACCCTCCTTGCCGCCGATGATTCCGCATGTCCGCCTGGCGGAGTTCTGGACCCATACCTCGTTGCGGCTCCCCGAGAGAGAGAGAGAGAGAGAGAGAGAGAGAGAGAGAGGGAGGGAGGGAGGGAGGGAGGGAGGAAGGAAGGAAGGAAGGAAGGAAGGAAGAGAGAGAGAGAGAGAGCGAGAGAGAGAGAGAGTGAGCGAGAGAGGTGCGCTGCAAGCAAGCAAGCAAAAGCGTGACAGACGACGTCCACCCTCCACCCCCACCAAACACCCATCTCACACCGACTGACTCGGTAGAGCGTGCCCCTCGGGGCGGCCCCCTAGGGGGTCATACGCACAGCAAGCAAGCAAGAGCGACAGAGACAGACAGACAGATAGACACAGACAGACAGACAGACAGACAGACAGTCAGACCGACAGACAGACAGTCAACGCAGAACACATCAAGGACCCAGTTGTACCATCAAGTCACAAGTGAAGCCAGGCCTGGGCGGGAGACCCCGACGACCCGCAATTCAAGGCCCCAAGCTTCGAGACGATTGGCATCTGGGACAGCACTTCGTAGATTCAGGATTGCAGCATTCTGGGTACAGTGGACCTCTATCTTGGGAAACCACCTAGGCAAGGAATCGCGGTTGACCGTGCAGTCAGGTTCTTTTTTATTTATTTTTTGCCTGGTGTCTTTTCCAACGTCCACGATGAACGACTCATCAATCTCCGCATCTTGAGCTACGACTATCATCACCACCTATGTTGGTTTCTTGTGCTGCTCGAGCTTTCCTTGCACAAAGGGCGCGAGCTGTTGAGCGGAAGGATTGCAAATTGAGCTGTCACGCTGACGATCGTGGTTTTCGATGAAAGACGATCCGGCATCACACGCCTCTCAGGCAACCCCATCCGGCTGAAGTTCTGCAAGGCCCCTGCCTCCCAGCAGTTCTGGGGATGTTGAGGCTGTGAGTGTTTGGGGTGACTTTTCGAACCCTGAGCGGGCAAGTAAAAGCTCAGACGCAGCTTCCAGCCTCTTGCAACGCAACGCTCAGAGGTGTTGGTACCAGGAGGCCTTTGCAATTCCGAAGCTGCAGGAGTGGTACGAGAGCCTCTTTGGAGTCGCGGCCAAGAGCATCCCAGGCTTTGCGTGGCCTCTGGGATTTTGTTGTCTGAGACTGAGTACCAGGAGGAACGTGGGTAGATTTTTAGCTCTGGCCTCGTTTGCAAGTAACCTTGAACCTACAATGTCCTCATGTCGCCTGCCCAGCCCGAAAATCTAGAAAGCCCGTTCCACGGTTTGTCTACAGAAAATGGGGGGGGGGGAGGGGGGGTCGTAGTGCAGATCTGAAAAGTGTTTTTGCGGTTGGGGTTGCAAGGGGGGTGTTGGCCAGGGCCTTTTCACGAACCCTGCTGAGAAGCCTTGCAAGAGTCACGACACAATGGCCAAGGGGGATCCTCAGAAGGCGACACTTCCTTCAACTCCGAGAGCCCCGTAAACGCACTGTAACTCGAGTCTAGCAGGTATCAGTCATGATGTCAGTAAAGTGCTCCCGAAGCAGCCCGGGCGCCAGATATCTTGGATGCCAGCAACTGGCTCCCACCCGACACACCTGTTTGCCTAAAGCTTCCGGGCCGCCACCTCAGTTGATGGAGATCGTGAGTCGATGACTTGGGTGACTTGGGTGACTTGGGTGACTTGGGTGACTTGGGTGACTTGGGTTTCAATACATTGAAGCTCCGAGCCTCTCCGCTGCGTGTGCCAGTAAGGCAAGCTGAAGGAGAAGCTGGGCATACAGGACATCCAGGCGGCCTCTCATCGGAAGGCCCGAGAAAAACTCCCCAGAGGCCCTCCACTTCCAAAGCAGGCAGAGACCGATGCCCTGACGCCCAGCTCACGGCCTTCCACGGGGGCGTCCGAAGGCTCTTGCTTGCTTTGGGGGGCGGTTGAGGGGAGTTTGGGTCTCTTTTTTTTTGGAGGGGTTCAGGGGTCACAAGGGTTCCTTGTACCCTTGCTCTTGGGTTCGTCGTCACTGGAATAGCTCGGCTTGGGCGTCAAATCCTAAGCCCTTAAAGCAGGAGTTTATCAGCACAGAGATTCAGATCGTGGGCCATGGGCAATGTGCAGATCTGATCAATATTTAGCTCTGATGACCTGCTGCAGTCTCATGGGATACAAGGTTCAAAAAAATCACCGTCGTTCTTCGCAACCCTCGTCTTGGTGTCTGGGGCGCTGCTGGAACGACTGTAGAGACTCCGTAGGCTCATGGGTTGCATCCGGAAGTGGGCCCTTCAGAGCATCGGTAGCTGGGCAGCTTGCAACCTGCTACTAACCAGCTACTCGAGCAGCAACTCGAGCTGGGCTTAGGTTTATTTTTTCTTGGGGGGGGGGGGGGAAAGGGGGTTTGAAAATTTGGGACCTCGGGGGGGTCGTTTGCAAGGTCACCGGAAAGGCCGCAGCAAGAAGCGCCGGCCCAGCGGTTGGCAAGCGCAGGCGGCCAGGAGCCCTGAGATTTGCAGACTTCTTGCAGGCTTTCGTTCTCTTTCCGCACGGATAGTACAGCCAAGCCCTAGACCCTAAACAAACCCCTGTAGACCCTCAGCAGTATCTATCATTTTTCTTGGTGCCTTGTGGGTGAGGTATTGCTACAAGAACTCTGCGAAATAAACGCATCTTTACAAAAACCAAGCAGCATAGTTGGTTTGAGACTGTCCGGCTCATTTTTCAAAATGGAGTCCCAGGAAGTTGGAAGTGCCTCAGTCTTGGGAAAATGAAAAACAGCAACTGGCATCCCCCACGCGTGCGCGCGTGGGGAGGGGGGGGGGGGTCTTTTGCTTGTCTGACTATTTCTTCCGCTCTGCTCTCGATGATTCATGCAGAAGCATGTTTTTCGATTCGAGGCCTGGTGCTTGTAATGAGAAATACATAGGGTGTTGAAGAAGACATGAGGAATCTTCTTAAATCTTCTATCGTTAATCCAGCAAAACCCTTATCAAGAAAATGTGCGTTAAAGAAGCATGTCAGAGATCCTTCCTGCAAGCTTCTGCTTCTCTCCCCCTTCCATATACAACGGTGCTTCACGAGAGACTACCCTGTACTCATCATCAGGCAGAACACAAGACGTTTTCAATGAACAAAAGCTCTCAGCAGTGCGCAAAGGAAACCCGCTTCACGTCCTTTCTTTCTTAGCGAAGACAAGACACACCTTTAAGAGGCAACTTTCAGAATTGTGCATGAAATTTGTTCAATAGTTGTTCAGGAAAGTTAGTGGACAAGTTTCAACAAGTCTTGTCAACTCGTAAAGAAGCTTGCTTGTCCTTTTCTGAGTAGAGATGCAATGTTGCTAGACAAAGATTTGCGAGAGCTTGGCACCCCCGGAGAAGGAAAGCCCGGAGTCTTGGTAGCTCGGGGTTCTTGGAACCATTGTTTGCATCAGGTTAAGCGCGGGAACAATGGCAACTCGTAAGCAAGTGCACTCCCGCAGCCCTTAGAACTTCTTGAACGGCGCACAGTCTCCCCTGCAATGCCTATAATCCCTAAGCTCTGCCGGGTCCACATGCTAGGATTTTGGGTTTAGCCAGACACCCACTTTGCTCCGCAAGGTCCCGGAAGCAGCCAAGGACGAGCGCCACTGGGCAGCGATCCGCCTACAGTTGGGGCCCCAAATGTTTAGGGTTTAGGGTTTAGGGTTTTTGTTTTTTTTGGAGGGCGTTTTGTCTCAGGAATTCGTCCTTTCCCATACGACATTTGGTCCCCAATTGCATGTCTTTGCCTTTAATTATTCGGTCATGCAAACATGAGGCAAACGTTGCTTTCCGTCTGGGTGTAAAATACTCTGCAGCTGAGACATGGAGTTCGGAGGGGAGGGTTTTAGGGCTGCACAGCTTTATGGGGGTTGCTCTAAAGGTCCTCTTGGAAAATCCTGTTGGGTTCCTATAAGTTTTACAGGCAAGTCGTGGGACATTTTGGGAGCAAGTTTCTGGATCAACTACCGTGTAGTTGTACAGGGTGAATGTCGAACCTCCGAGCCCAGCTGATACTGGCAGCAGATCGTGCAAACGAACGCGCACCCGACATGCAAGTGATTGGGAATGTGTTGACAATTCTGCTTGCGGGTTCAGGCTTTGCAGTTCTTATATTGACCTAGTGCGCAGGGTGTAGGTTGACAGAGGTATGTTTGTGCCTGGTCCGAGCTAGCAGCAACCCTTAGCATCCTCCAGGGTGTAGACTGAAATCTCAGACTGAAGTCTCAGCTCTGGCTGGGGATTCCTCAGTAGCTTTTCAGCTCTGAGCTGCGCAGCTCTTGCATCCTGATTCGGTGTACCTGCGGCCAGGTTCGAACGAAAATTCCCCAAAACCCCCCCTTAAAACCCCCTCAAACCCCCCAAAACTCCCCAAACCCCAAACCGCGGCGCCAGTCCAGGCTCGGATCCATGCGTAGGGAGGCTGTATTCAGTGGATGTCAGGTGCGTCAGAAGGCCCCAAGCCGGTCAAGCACAAGTAGTACCTTGGGGGATATTCGGACAGATGGGACCCTCCAGAACACCCCTCCCCCCCCCTCCGCCCTCAAAGCTTCAATACGTCAGCTGAGAGGGGCCGGATCCCGTGCGTTGTTCTCTAAAGCTCATGGCGCTGGCATCGTAAGCACGGAGAGCAGAACGCCATGACTCGCTGCCTCGAGGATCTGGGGTTTAGGATCAGGGGTTACGTTATGAGGCAACTCGAAACTTTGAGCCCTACTGGGATAATTTTCAATTTCGGGTCTTCCGACCCTTGGGTTTGGCAGAAAGGGCTGTAGAAAGGGGGCCATTCGGATTTCTAGTCCTCTCGCAGCGTTGGACTCTGCAAACCCTACGTGTGAACTTTAAACTCCAGTTCTCAAGATTTCCTCCAAGTTAGCTGGAGCAGCCCGCTGGCATCCCTCTTCTGTCTCAACTTAGGTTGGGGTTTAGCTTGGATTTGGGATTCAGAGGTTAGCTGGAACTCCGAACCAGGTCAGTTGGGGGAGAGGGGAGAGGGGAGAGGGGAGAGGGGGGGGGGGTGGGTTGCGATTCCACTGTGCATTTTTTGGGTGTTCTCCGGGTGCGCTCCGAAGTTTTGGGACTTCTTCTCCTTGAACCAAATCAGGAGGGCCATGGGAGGGGGGAGCCTAGAAATCCAAATAAGTACCGTATGGTGTCCAGGCAGTGCCTACAGATCTCCTCTCCGTGCAACTGACTGTTCGAGTGGAGCGTTTAACTCTTACAGGCATTCGGGTTTGGAACCTCGACCACGTAGACTATGGATAAACTGGAAATGGCTTCCTTGCTATGGCTCTCCATTACCAGAAGCCCTGTTTTGAGTGTCCCCTGAGTGCGGCATCTTCCGGGCTGCGGAGGATGAGAAGCGGGGCAAAGATGTAGGCTACCAGTCCCTGGAAGACCAGCACATCGCCGAACTGAAGGATGGGTTGGGGGGGGGGGCTTGAGAGTGTTAAGTCAAACCAGGAAGGTTTGCCTGAAGCTTCAAATTGGTCTGTCCGGAAGAGGGCTCCGCTGTGAGATGTGCCCGCAGGTTCTTCGGGGGGGTTGCAGAGGAGAGTGATGACCAGGGTCCCCCCTCAACGGATCCTATGTGGTGCCAAGAAACTAGTCATATACTAAGGTAATAGTATGATAATATGGTTAGCAATACAACAAGAGGATACTGTACTGATATCATACTATGATATGATGCTAGAATGACATTGTGATAGAATGATTGATAACAACCCCCCCCCCACCCCCCAACTATTGTCATCGCGTTGAGTGGAACGGTCTTCCAGACGATTCTTTTTGCATGTGTTCTGACATGGTTCGGGAGGGCACCCGACCTGCGGTCTTCGTCAGTCTGTTAAATTTTTTTGTTCATCTAGCGGAAGCTTGACATTCGTACACGGCTCTTGTATGCTGTTGTGCAGACGGCAGCATCCGCCTCACCAAGTCTACGGGAATTCTTCCAAGCTTGTCCAAGGTGGCTTAAAGTCAGAGTTAGCTCCCCTCCACTCGCTTCCCAGGATGTGATGGAGGAGAAGAAGGACCGCGTGGATCGCTTTGCGAAGGTGGGGGCTCAGTTTCTTCTTCGAGGCTGTGGAAAGAAGTGGAAAGAAGAGTAGAAGAGTCTGAGCCCGAGGTGCACTTCCGCTGGACCATCGGCATCAAGTTCATTGGTCTGGTGGCCTTGGCTTCGCTGCTGGCGGTGGAGTGGTACTCGGAGGTTCGCTCAGAGTCCGCGCGCCTGGTGACGGAGCTCTCGTCTCTTGGCAAGGCGCCGCGACATGCCAAAATGTCGCAAATCCCCGAGAGCTGGGTTCTAGCTCGATACTCCAGTTTCTTCAGCTGTTGAACACGGAAGGCGTCGCAGCTGCCTAGATGCCCAAATGGACTCTCTCCGCATCATTGAAGGATGTGCTCTTGTATGACCTCATCCTGACATCTTCCGCTCGCATGCTGGCGCTCACAGGCTTGGGCCCTTGGACCCGGGGCATGCGGGCTTTGGAAGGCAATTTGGCGTTGCGGACAGGACAGGGGTTCCAAGGCGTGCTGCGGTTGTTAGTCTCCACCCTTCACCAAATACGTGGCAGAAGAACACCTGCAGTTAAGAACACGGACGTGCTTCTGTTGCACCAGATCTGCTGCATCGCTGTCCATTATGTCGGCATCTTCTGATCCCAATCATGCCTCGCCATGCCTGGCTTACCTATGAGGAGGACCTGGGATCTTACCATAAATGGTGCACTTGACTTCTGATGATTCAATGGCGGATTCCGAGGCGACTTGCGATGGAGAGACGAGTACTTCCTCAAGGTGGAGCCCTTGGAGGCAAGCAACATTGCGGAGTGCATCGCTGGAATTTTTCAGCTAGGTCAGTTCACAGCACCACCTTTTGCAGACATCGTTTCTGTCAGCTCCACTAGGGCTTAGGCCCGGCTCAGGGCCAAAAGGGGCGAGCAGTGTGTAGGGACGGCTGTTCATGTCTTTTCGGTGTCTCCGTTCCTCTCTAGCACTCTCTTCCTCTCTATACATGTACGTGTCTCTCCCTCTCTCTCTGTCTGCCTGTCTCTCTCTGTCTCTCTCTGTCTCTCTCTTCTCTCCCTCTCCACAGGCTGGTGCTCTCTCTATCTCTCCCTCTCCCTCTCACTCTCCCTATCTCTCTCCTTGTCTCTCGCTCTCTCTCATTTCTCTCTCTGTCTCTCTCTCTCTCTCTTTTCGCTCACTCTCTCTCTCTCTCTCTCTCTCTCTCTCTTCCTTTTGACATTAAAGATCTTGCAAGGATCTTGCACTTCTGACATGCGACAGTTTCTGTGAGTACGTAGTCCGGCAGACCCACACTAAGTTGGCCGTTCCGAAATAAGATTGCACCCACACACCCTCAAATGCCAGTCGGTCCTGCAAGAGATCGAACGAAAAGCCCCGGACATCGCCTCTGAGCGCCTTCGGCTGTGATTCAGGTCTTAGCGGCCTGTAGTGTACTAGCAGTCTTGATCAGTTCATGGTCGTCATCTTTGGTGTCTCAAGACCCGGATCTCTACAACGCCAGGCAAACCTACACCGGGCTTTCTAACCATGGGAGAGGATTGGTGCATGTCAACATGCCTTAGTCGCCTTGGTTTGCACCTTCCACTGAGCAGTTATCCCAATCGAGCGCTGGAGCAGAGACTTGATGCTGGTACTACTTTGCTACGTAGCCTGAGCCGGGTCCGTGACGGGGTCGGTCCCACTGGTTGCCATCACGGCGCAGACCTGGACATGTAATCCTCTCCCGTCCGCAGCGTTGGGCGTTGCCCGGTGAGCCAGGTTCAACAGAAATACCGTTGTCGCTAACGACAAGCTGCTGGCATTGGAGGTCTGCTCAGGAGTTTGCACTTTTGGGACAGAGATAACCTGTCTCGCGTAAACGTGACAGTTTCCATCCCTCTAGGTATTCATGCTTTTGCCTCTTAACTGTACCCGTGCCACAGGGCGAAGCCATCGAACTGTCCGCGACCAACGTCTCCTTGGCCACACGAGTTCTGTTCAGCAGCACGTACGAAACCAACAAGGCCGGCCAGAGGGGAAGTGGCTCTAGCAGGTACAGTTTCCTCCTGTTTACTTTAACCTGTCTTTATGAAGCCCATGCTGCCTCAAGTTGAGTAGAGCTTCGCCACAGCTAGACAAGAGAGGCCTGACATTCATCTGACTGCTTGGGAAGAAATTAGCATGTTGCAGAGTATCTCAGCAGGCTGAAGATGCCACCAATTCTCGTCGATGTGCTTTGTTGGAGTTGATCAGGCACTCCTGCTTGATGGTCTGGCCGTCTTGGACAGCATGATCCAGGAAGTGCGTTTCTTGCCTGCAGTAGTTGAAGCTCTCCGTCGTATAGATATCAGAAATGACGTGCGAATAGGGCAGCCTTGTCGTTCAGGTTCGGTCTGTTGAGCAGAACAGACGCTGTCTGTTGCCTCTCAATGTTCATGGCCTGCGTTGATCCGATCACGGGAGACTGAGGAACGAACCACAAGAATACGCAATCCTGGTGGGGCATTGTCAGTCCGCATCTGACCTCAACCTGGAAGGAGTTGTTGGAAGCAACATTTGGACCCAAAAAACAGTTGCCACAATAATTGCTGAAGTCCAGACCATGTGGTACAGAGACATGAACCTGTGCCTGCGGATGATGCCGGATGCAGTCGTTCCAACTGGTGGATTTCGCTTTAGGGTACGCCTAAGATAGCTCAGGTCCATGGTGTTGCTTGCCTTTTTTGGCGAGTGCGCCATGACGGTTGCCGTGGAGCGGCTGGATCGCCGACTCGAGAAGTACTGGAAGGAAGCAGACCACGCGAGCACGGCGTGCCCCGTTAACTTTTTTCTCCTGTCGCATCTCCACTGTTTCGGGCTGACATTGTGGAAGCTACTTGTGGGTTGAAGTGCATTGGCAGGAGCAGCTTTAGCGAAGAATGGTGCCGGGCAATGTTTTGGTCACATTTTGCAGAGTCAAGTGGACATGGCATCTCAGTGCTGATCCGGCAGAATCAGAGTTGAGCCCCAGCATCCTAGTGGTAACCCGAATGGTGTTGCCATTTTACTGCGACGTCGTCTCTCACTCTGACGGTACTCGATGGGGCCGTGAGGGTAGCGGGAGTCTGCGTTTTGTCTCCCGAGAGGTACAACTCTGAAATGCGGAGGAGCTTCTTGCAGCGAGCTCAGGGCACTGTGGAGTCAATACAGGGCAAGCTCTCCAAGAAGTTTTTGAGGCGGGGCAAAAAGTGAAAGGAGGACTTCTGTGTCAGGCTGCCAGAGAAAGCCATCTTTGCAGACATCAAGCCCTTTTGTGTTTGTTGTTGTGCTTGTTGTTGCGTTTGCTTCTACAGTGGGTTGTGGCGGCAATCTGCTCACACTCACAAAATCTGCCAAACCCTAAACTGCCAGACCCTAAGCCCAAAGCCCTGAACCCCAAACCGTGGCGGGTGGCCCTGTCAGGCCGCTTCAGCTGCAAGTGGAGTCGGAAGCTCCTGCAGCTCCGCAGATGCTGCGGCGGAGGTGCCTTGGACGCATTTTTTTTTGTTGTGCTTTGCGCGTGCACTAGCCAAGTTACCGAAAACCTTAGCGCGCCACTTTCGTTGATTTTCGGAGTCCGGCTTCTTGCAGGGGTGCGGCCTGTGTCTGCTTCACGGATATGGTTGGCAGGTTGCGCATTTCAAAAACGGTAGCGACACCAGTGGTGACAATGACAATCCGCTTCGGCAATTGTGATCTGCGTGCCCGGAAAGAATGCGCTTCGGAGTTGCCACAGCCTTGTCAAGATTTAGAGCAGGTGATGTGCGAGGTGCAGAATCTGCTCTGTTTGGAGTGTGAGATTCGGCCCAGGTTGTTCTACCTTGCGATGTCCGCCGAAGTGTTCGCCCTCGCAGGCTTGTCTGAGCAAATTGCGATTCGAAGTCCGGGATCGGTTTAGGGTTTAGGGTTTAGGGTTTAGGGTACATGGTTCATACCTGCACTAAGGGCATAGGCAGCACCCTCAGAAGCCCAAAGAGCATGCCCTCAGCGACAGCCGCAAGATGACGTGCAGACTTTGGGCTGCCTCACCCTGTCATAGAGAGGTTGAGGGGTTCAGGGCTTAGGTTTTAGAGGGTATTCGGATTTCTGGACAAGGAGCTTGATTTCGAACAACTCCCCCCCCGCCCGCCCCATTGCCACTTGGCCAGGTTTTGCGATACCAGCTGTGTTGACATTGGTAGCGCCTTGATTCGAACAGCGCAGTTGGCTCGAGAGATCTCGAGAGGGTGTTCTTGCGCACTCATTTGGAGGTTGTTCAATTTCGGGGGATCGTTTTTGCTGTATACCTTACGGCTGCGAAATCTGAGGCTCTGTACAAAGCAGAGGGAAATGATCCACTACAGCAGCTGATCGTCCACGCCAAAGACACCGCGCCTTGCCCTGCAGTCAGCGGACAAAAGAGCGCAGCAACGGGTTCGCACATTCTCTTTGCAGCGCAGAGTGCTAAGGTCAATGGAGGGCTTCGGCAAAGTCGGCGCATGTTTTTATCTAACAGATAACCGCCCGAAGCCCCGATGACTTTCAGCAAATGCTGGATCATGCCCCGCTGAACCCCGATGGCTTGTAAGCCCTCAACTAAACGGCACAGAGGCTGATGGGACCTTTAAAGTCCCAAAGCACATGCCTCGCACCATCTTGAACTGTGGACTTGTCAAGGAGTTCTACGACGTGGCCCTGACTTCTAGCGCGCGACTCTGCGTCCTGTCCCACGACACGCGCTGGTCAACGGACGGTCTTCGATTCTGCCTTGGAACTTGCTGGTGTTATTTTCCTGCATCGAATCCCCAAACTCTTAATTCTTGAGCCGTAAGGCCGTAAGGGTTAGTTTTGTGGTCGACTCACGTGTTGAATGTCCAGTCGTGTGCAATCCTTGCGTGGAACATCTTCGCGTTTCGATCTGCCGTAGCTGCCCTAGCTGGAGTCAATGGCTCTGTTCAAGCGAGCACCCTTGAGAGAGTCCTGTAGTGGCCGTTTCAAGCCAAACTGGTTGCAGGAGTATGACGGCTTTGTTGCCCCCATCGACGCAGCACTTGCAGGGCTGCAAGAGGCACCGCGTGACAACGCGTGACAACGCCAGGGAGATCCGGCGTAGAACTCGGCTTTCTTTCCGGTGGCCTTCGTTCTTTTCGTGCTTGGAGTTCTTGAGTTCTTGAGAGTTGCAGCACCCGGTTGAACCTTATCCTTGAGGGCTCGCATTCCCTGCTCATCCCGATGTCACCCCTTTTATCGGAGACATGACCTTTTGCAGGTGGCGCCCGATGTGGCCGCTGAGTTCGCCGCAACCACGTCCGCTGCAAATGATGCGCTCATCGCAGCTTGGGTGCTCCTGGTCCCTCCCCCCCCCGCTCCCCTCACCCTGCCTACAACACATGCTTCCCGTACTGCTATCCTGCCAACAAGTGATGATCGAAATCTTTCGTGTGGCGTGGTTGTAACCTGACAAAAGGTGAGGGACAGCGGTGTATCTCCTCTCTCACGAACGAAGCCTTCAGCCCAACCTGCCCACACTGGCTACTGTGAGGACATGGAGACTGCAGCCCTTGAAGTCTGTGGTTCCGATCCAGAAAAGGGCCGAGGCATTTTGTGGCCCAGCGGCTTTCGTCACTGTTTCTGCTTCTTTGTCCCTTCTGACTCGAAGCCCAAGGCCTGAAAACCGCATGAGCGTGAGAAGTCAGGTTCAGTCCGGCCTACGAAGGCAACAAAACCTTGCTCCTGGACGGGATACGCGCCGTCACTGCAGCTGCTGAGCAGCAGCGCCAACTTTTTGAGGACGAAGAAGAGCAGCACCACACTGTCAGCCGTGCCCCGCCATGCAATGCATTGCATCTGAAGCCTCATGGTGTCAACATGGTGTCAACATGGTGTGAACCGCATGCCTCAGCCCACAGTGGACAAGAAGCAAAAGGTGTATGACAGTGTATGAGCTGCATAAACCCTAGTAGGCGCGTTGTTGTGTGTGCTGTGGCTGGTATGTGCCAGACTTGACTGACAGAGCCCCGTACCCAGCTTTGCCACATTTGGCCATTCCAACATAGCGATGCCTTCCCAAAATGCGTGCGCAGGCATCCTCCTGATTGTGAGTACCTTCCTCATTGTTTCCGCGGACCTTTGCACAGTTGCGCCTCGGTCCCGAAACATCTCAGCACTCAGGAAACTCTAAGCTCGAAACCCACAACTCCTTAAGCCCCCTAAACCCCCTAAACCCCCAAAATCCTACAACAAAGTCATCGCTGGGTTTGGCGGATTCCCAGGTGATTGCAGCTTGGATGGAAGCTCTTTCCGTGGCCACCGACGCCTGTCCAGAAATGCCGTTTGCGTTCCTGGCAGCTCCTTCAATGATTCAAGGGTGGGGCCTTTTAAGGACATGAGAAGTGAAATGAAGTTAATGGCTTGTACGGGGGCCCCTCCCTCCCCTTTCCCGGCCCCTAAACTGTGGTCCCTCCCTCCCCTTTTCTTTCAGGGGCGCAGGTGTTAACGTGTTGACATGGCTGGGCATCAACATGGGCGAGTCTTTGGCCATATACTTCTCACGAGCAACGCTGCACCAAAAGAGAGCGGGTTTTTCTCAAGCTTGTCGGTCGGCACCTGCCCAAGTCCGAGCGCGCTGCAGCAGATATCTCACAACGCGACAAATATCAGGTGAACATGGATGAGTTCGGTTCGCTCATATCGCCCAGTCGAACAAGAACCTTCTTCGCCCCAGATGCCACAGCCTCTCTGTTCCTGCTCCCTAGCTTTCCTGCGCCACCCCAGAGGACCCACGGTTTCTAACGGGCATAATGTGGTGACCGTAAGCGGTGACTCACGATGAATCCGAAATTAGCATGAAATAAGTCATGATGAACGTGTCATGAGCAAGGACAGCGACGACGCAGATGCATCAGCAAATCAGAAATTCGTACTGGGCTGCCTGGCAAGGCTTCAGATCTGTCGGTAGGTAGCCCCATCATCATTGCAGTCTCAAGAGTTCTTAGGGTTCCACGCCCTAGAATTGAGGCGTCCTCTGCCGAGTTTCAGGTTTCTGAGGTTTCTGAGGTTTCTGAGGATTCTGAGGTTTCTGAAGCAGCAGAGGAGTTTGGCACTGAGGACTCCTGGATCTGGTCAAAGTGGCCTTCAACCCCCCGAAGGGTGGCACCGACGCTCCGAGAGAACGGATTCCGGTCTACGGGTCTAATGGGTCTAATGGGTCTAAGACCTACAGCGCACTGAGGTACCAGAGTCTTCCATGTTGCACTCACTTTCTCCGATCCCGGATGAACACAAGAACCGTCAGTGGCCGTTGTGTCAGGAAGACGAGGTCATCTGTGACATCCCGGATGAAACTGGAGGTGGGGCACTGACACACCCGTCCCTGACGCGGTCTAACTCGCCGTGCGAAGCTATTGGCCGCGTCATCGGGACCTAGCAGCTTCTCGTACTGTATAGAGCATCAGTACACGTCCCACGAGGCATTGAAGTACCCCCAAGTGATGGCATACATCAATGTCACATTCAAAGCCCTCGTGGATGACATGACTAATTACACTTTCCAAGCATGTGCAGCGCAGGGTGAAGTAGATGTGCCTTGTAGTTGCACGCTTGTCTTGTCTTGCAGAGTTTGCATGCATAGCCGGCATAGCCGGCTGAGGGCATGTCGTTTGGCGCAATGTGGCTTGCAGGTGGTTTATTCTTGGATGTGCCACCAAAGGTGCTGTCATCCAGGAATCTGCGTGTTGGGCGGCGTTCGGGTTCAAAGCTCTGCGTCAAGCCCGGGCAATCTACAGCATCGCTTCTAAAGTTTGGTGCCTGCGCCGGCAACATCGCAAGCTCTGAAGCAAAGATGCTGCAGATGCTGGCGCGCAATAGATTTTCAACCGATATTTCTGGTCGGATTGGTCGGTTAATTTGCAAAGACTGGTGGATCTCAGCTTGCTGATGCACACTGTGCATCCTCACCGTGGCACAAGGAGTGAAAGAGTTGCCTCGACTCCTAGACCTCCCATCAGCCTTCCTTCATAGAGCTGTGAGAGTTTCTTAGAAATTAGTCCGCATTGCGGATGCGTCCTGACTTCTCGTCGCCAATTCGCCCAAGTGGGTTCTCAGGTGCAAGATACGCGGTTGGGCCGCCATCCGCACATCAGGCTGGCTTCGAAGGCGTCGCCAGGCCATCCATGCCCTCAACCAGGAAATCGGAGCAAAAGCAGTCGGAGCCTGGTGCACCAGGGACTTCTCGCAGTTAAGTTGGGAGGGATACCCCCTCACAAGTGCAAGTGTAAATGGATGCAGGAAGTTTGGCAGGCAAACTTCGAAAGAGTCCCGCTCCTTGCCAACCCAACCCGCAACATGCCAAACTACCCACAAAAAGAAACAGAATTTCCCCCCCGCTAGACATTCTCTACTCGTTCGTAGCATTCCCCTGAAGTTCTGAAACCTTAAAGCCTTCTCCCACATGGGATGTTGAGAGGCTCAGATTCGGATTGCAAGCCGCTTCAGAGGATACCTAACCAGGAGGGGCAGGGATGAAATCTGGGGGAGTTTATGATGCCTCTAGTCGGTCATGGGGTCCAGCTTCAAGTGTGGCACCGCATCACTCCTGAGCGCAGCTGCCCCATCGGATTGTTACGTGAACCATCGTGGTCGACGCCAGTTCAGACTGCAGACATGTTGTGTGCGCCTCACGAGTCTTTCAGACCTCCCAACAATTGTCAACCCCTAAAGCCCGGTGAGCCTCCTAGGCCCTTTAAGCCTCTTTAAGCCCCGTAAACTTCCTGTAAACCCTAAACTAAACCCTGAACCCCAGACCCCCAACTGAAGTCACAGGACCGGGCGCGGAAACTTGGTGGCGAAGGTGGTACCCAAGACGGACCAGCAGCCCTGCTCATCATGCTCCCGGTTTAGGGTTCGGGGTCTTCAGGTCTTCCAATATCCATGACATGCATTGACGATGATTGGCCCACCTTGGCTCTCGTGTTTCTGTCCTTGCCCTGCGAACCGCAGCTCTTGCAGTGCCCCTAAACCCACCCAAACCCCAAACCCCAAACCCCTAAACCCTAAACCCTAAACCCTAAACCCTAAACCCTAAACCCTAAACCCTAAACCCTAAACCCTAAACCCTAAACCCTAAACCCTAAACCCTAATTGCTTTTGGGAAGGAGTCCTTGCCGCCGGAGTTGGCGCAGCGGCTCACAAAGCTGGATCCATGGAGCGAGGACCCTGACCTCAAAGCCCAACACAGTTAAGCCTTAGGGTTTAGGGTTTAGGGTTTAGGGTTTAGGGTTTAGGGTTTAGGAAAGTTGGACACCCAAAGATGGTGACAGACAAAAAGAGTGAGATTGACAACGACCAAGCAGAAGCACCACACCCCCCCCTTTCGGGAATTCAGTGACGGGGAAGGCTCATGAAGTATTTGTACAGTCCTAAAACCTTCAAAACTGCGTAAAAACCCAGACGAAGCCGGACATGGTGCTTTGCTAAGCAGGAGCTCAATTTCCGCCACGCCTTCCTGGGGCAGAATGGCACCGCCCATCTTGCCAGTCCTCCAAGCTTGGGTTGAGTCTTGTCTTCGCGATTGCAAGGGGAACCCAGACTTAGGAATCAGGGATACGAGGCCCCAAGGCTTACATTCCTTCATCGTGCCTTTCGGCCGCGGGATCCCGTGATGAGCACATGCAAGGTCGGTGCTGTTTCTACCAGACACTCTTGAAATCGTTATCGTAGGAACCTGAAACGTGACTCCATAATTAAATCAGAAAATCCAGCGGCATGCACGCTGGCGGGATTCCTCTACGCCCCATGCTGCATGCCCCAAACGGAAACAGGCTCGACCCTGAAGTTTGGCTTGGGCTGAGGCACCCTTTGTCAGCTGCCTGCAGTCCTTGCAGATTCTCGAGCTTGGCCCTAAGCCCTACAGCACGAGGTCTCGCTGCCACAATCATGCAGACTCTTCTGGCGGACCTTAAGCCTATACCAAGTATTCTTTAGCTTCGAGACCCAAACCCCAACGCCCTCGAACCCTAAGCTCAGGGTTTGAAGTCTTTCGCCGTGCAGAGCCACGCGCTTCCAGGGACCCATGACAATCATAAGTTCCTGTTTCTTGCCACAAGCTCGTCTATTCGCACAGTAAAGTGCCCCTTTGCAAATCTTTGTGTTGCTCGTGGGTACATTTGCCATAGCATCATCATAGTCTCCATGATAACAATCGTTTCGTATGGCTTCTATTTGACGTCTCATCTTCATTGCTAAGCCTTCAATTAAACCCTGCAAGCCCCGAACACGCATGACACCCGACACGTTATGCTAATGTGGAGGTGGGGCTCTAAATAGGAAAAGACGCTCATAAACCACTTCTTACTGGACACGTGATGCTGTTGCAATTAAAAAGGTGAGCGAACGCAGGAAAGCTGAGCGAATGCACAACACGCCGGATGTGGAATATTGAGTACATGCCGTATCTCTCCAGAGTCACCCGATTCTTTCGAGCGCTGGATTCTCGAATGAAATAGCCCCGAACCCCCCAAAGCTCTGAATCCCAAACGACCCCAATGCCTCCCTCAAACCCTCACTCCCAAGCCCCCCAAACCCCCAAGCTCCACAAAGCTTCCCAAACCCCCTCAAAACTCCCCTAACCCCCCTCAAAACCCTCCAAAACCCTCCAAAACCCCCCAAACCCTAAACTTCCTCAGTTGATCTGATCGAATCGGCTCATCCCTGGAGCTCCCAGGTTGTGCGGCAACTACGTCGGCTCGAAAGGCCGAGCACTTAGGTGTCGTGGTGGTCTTCTCGTTTTCGGTTTCGTGTTCCCTGAGGGGGGCGGGTTGTTAGGGGGGTTTGGTGTTGAGCTTTTTTTGTAAAAGGGGAGGCGGGGGGAGTGGTTTAGGCCTTGCTTTTGCGTGTTTTTTTTGGTGGCAGGGGGTGGGCAGGGAGGATTTTGGCGTTTTTGGTTTTTTTCGGGCTTTCGGGGGGTTTAGCTTAAGGGCGCTTAAAGTTGAAGGGGAGTCTCGGGTTGGAGTATGAGTTCAAAAAGTAGCCGCCTATCTGTTTTGGATAGGTACCTATTGGATAGGGGTCTATCGCAATCAGGATAGGTCCCTATCCGTACCCCCCTACCCCCAGGCGATAGACCCCTATCCCCAGGGGTCTCCCCGATGTGGATAGGTACCTATGCATAGGCCCCTGTCCGGAAAGGATAGGGGTCTATATATAGGGGGCTGTCGCCCGGACCTAGACCCGTATCCGTGGCATAGACCCCTATCCCTTTCCGATAGGGCCCTATCCGTCCCTTCCTTCGTCGCCTCACAACTATACCCTAAGCCCTGAGTCCCTACACCCTAAACCCTAAGCCCTAAGCCTGAGCCCTAAAAAACCCTAATCCCGAAACCCAAAAAGAAAC